TGTTCTCCATCTTGAAGAAAAAGATGTCACCGTTCGTTAACCAGACTATGAATGTGGTACTATATTGCCTTATCCGAGCGTGTAAACGACTAGCTCAAAGCGAAGCATTTACATCGGATGATAGTGTTCAGCTCGGCCTTCTGCGCAACATTCGACAGTTAGGCGTCAAATGTCTGGATTTGGTTTTCTCTGTGTCTCCTACAGTTGATTGGGAACCATTCATTCCTCTTATACTCTTAGAAGTAGTCAACCCAAGGCTTGACAACTTTGCAGTGGAAACTGCTCAGGCAGTGTCTGGATTACTTCAGCTCTTCCGTACTTGGGCTTCTAACCCAAGATCAGCAATGTATTTCGAGGGAACTGGCATTGTCTGTCGCGTTGTTGATTGTTTAGCCACGGAATCAGCACGAGACGAGGTGAAGATATTTGTTTTGGACGAAGTTCTAACGTCGCTGGTCGGCGTGTGCATCGACAAGCAAGTGGATGAAGAGGGTGATGTTGATACGTCGGCACCATCGCCAGAAGCCATTCACAAAAAGGTTCTGGGGCCCCATATGGAATATGTATTGGCCCACCTGGAAGATTTTCTTAAGGAACAACCTCCCCGCCACATCCTTGGCCCTGCTGTTGAACTGCTGTCCAGAATTTCCTCCCTTGTTGTGTCGTCTGCAGAGACCTCTAAACTTATCAGCACTACTATATTTTTGCTTCAACAACCCCCGGATCGTGTTCCGCCAAAAACAAAAGGTCGCCTCCTCAAAGTTTTGCAACACTTCCTACCCCTATTTCAGCAACAAGACCACCCAGAACTTGCTCAGCGTATATTTGAAGTTCTTTCGTCTCTTTTCGACTATTTCAAAGACCAGCCAAATCGGGTGTCCCTAGCTGCCGTGTTTGACATATATGTTGCCAACGACCCGGAATTAGTTGAAATTGGGAAACTCGTTGCCGACTTGAATTCAATGTCAACGAAGCGATTGGATGAGGTTGATTTTGACCGACGACTCAAGGCCTTTACTGTGATAAATGAAGAAAAGCATTCTTCATTTACAGCTAGGCAATGGAGGCCACTTTTGTTCAATATAATTTACAATCTTAAAGACGAGGAAGAACTTGCCATTCGGTCGAGTGCCTCACTCGGCATTAAACGGTTCATTCAAGTCACAAAGATCCGAGAAGAAAAGTCGAATTCAGAATATAACGGCTTGGTTGAAAGGGTTCTTCTTCCTGCCCTTCGCAATGGCATCAAGCAAAGTGCGGAAACAGTTCGTGCAGAATTTGTGTCCCTTCTTGGCTACTTGGTCCAGGAACACACTGAACTTCAAGCTGTGAAGGATATGCATGACTTGTTAGCCGGAGGTGATGACGAGGCATCATTTTTCAATAACATTCTTCATATACAGCAACATCGACGCCTGCGTGCATTGAGGAGGCTTGCTACTGAGGTTACCAAAGGCAAGATCCAAGCTACCAATACCAGCACCATATTTTTCCCTCTTATTGAGCACTTCGTTTTCCAACAATCCGAAGATGAAAATGCTCATAATTTAATAGCTGGAGCTGTTACAACAGTTGGTTCCCTGAGTGAGGCCATTACGTGGAACCAATTTAAAGCTATCTTCCGCCGATACCAGGGGTACATCAAAAGCAAACCTGGCTTAGAAAAGAGCGTTATCCGCCTGCTTAGCCAAATGACGGATGCTCTTTCTCGTGCCGTTTCGGGCAAAGCCACACGAGCGATTGCTGAGGAAGTTACTGGAGAAGAAATGGAAATAGAAGAAAGCCCGGGGGTCCAGACAACGCTTAGCGCTTCAATCCCTAATGGTACCAAACTAACGGCTGAACTGAAGACGAACTTCATTCCCTTCCTGACTGGATTCACCAACAAACGAAGTGAGTCTGACGTTGCGTTGCGTCTTCCTGTAGCAGTAGCGGTCGTCAAACTTCTGAAATTGCTACCTGAAGAAGATATGGCGTTAATGCTTCCTTCTCTTCTTATGGATGTGTCTAGTATCTTGCGCAGCCGTGCGCAGGAGACCAGAGATACAGCAAGAAAAACGCTTGCGGATATTGCTATCATTCTAGGGCCGTCATATTTTGGGTATATCCTTAAGGAGTTGAAGGGAGCCTTGAGCAGAGGATACCAACTTCATGTGCTTTCCTTCACGGTTCATTCTATCCTCGTTGCAACTGCGGACGAATTTGAGGTTGGTGCGTTAGATCAAGACCTGAGTACTTTGGGTGAAATTATCATGGACGATATATTTGGTACCGTTGGCCAACAAAAGGATGCCGAAGAATATGTCAGCAAGATGAAAGAAGTGAAAAGTAGTAAAAGTTATGATTCTGCTGAGCTGTTAGCCAAGAATGCTAGCATTCGGCACATCTACGACCTTATTCAACCAATCCAACAGCTTTTACAGGAGAAACTTACAACCAACCTTGTGGGCAAGATAGACGAGCTATTACGACGCATTGGCATTGGCTTGTTGAGAAATCCAGGGGCAGAAAGTCGTGACTTTCTGATGTTCTGCTATGAAGTGATTAAAGAGTCATACAAGGTGCCTGAACCAGTTCTGGACAATGACGAATGGAAAACAAGAAGTCGATTCCTCGTCCAGGTTGCATCTATTCGAAAGAAAAGTGGTGGAAGCACTACATCTTACCTTTACAAACTCGCCCGCTTTAGTTTGGATACCCTTCGCTCAGTGCTCAACAAGTATAACTCCCTGTTGACTGCGGATAATGTAGCTGGCTTTGTCCCTATTATCGGTGACTCTATAGTACAAGGATACGAAGAAGTCAAACTTTCTGCAATTCGGCTCTTATCTACCATCATCAAACTCCCTTTACCTGAGCTTGACAAGAATGCGGATGTATATATCGTTGAATGTGTCAAGCTGATGAAGGAATCGGCAAGTTCGCAAACCGATGCATCTCAGGCGGCTCTTAAACTTGTTTCTACCGTTTTGCGGGAGCGGAAACGTACCACCATCAAAGATTCATATCTTGCATACCTCTTGAAACGCGTGTCTGCAGACATTGATGAACCCGATCGCCAAGGAATCGTGTTCAATTTCATCAGATCCGTGATGTCACGGAAGTTCATGGTACCAGAGATCTACGAAGTTGTTGATAAGATCTCTGCCATGATGATAACGAACCATACGCGGAATGCTCGGGATCTGGCAAGGGGTACGTACGTGCAATTCCTAGTTGAGTACCCGCAAGCGAAAAATAGATGGACAAAGCAGATGGCGTATCTCGCGAAGAACTTGGATTATGCCCATAGGGAAGGTCGAGAGTCTGTGATGGAAGCCATCCATCTCATCCTAGCAAAGACAAATGGGGAGTTAGCTCAGGAGATGGTAGACACTTTCTTTATTCCACTCGTGATGGTTATGGCCAATGACGAGGCGCCTACTTGCCGAGAGATGGCTGGGTCTCTTCTAGGAACTATTTTTACCCGTGCTGATGCTGAGCATCTGAAGGCAGTACTGTCTCCACTCGAGTCCTGGCTCGAACAGTCTGATAATATCGCTCTTACGAATACAGGGCTGCAGGCCATTCGAATATTCTTTGAGTCAGATGCCAATAACAAAGACAGATACGTCAGGTTCGTCACCGAGCTTCTCCCTGGTATTATGAGTCTTTCTTTGGATAATAGGGAAGCGAATGAGTGGGAGATTTTATACTATTCCCTTCAGCTCTTTGTGAAGCTATCGAAGCTATTCCCGAGTGTCACATTAAACCCGTCCTGTGCAAATGTCTGGTCTCAAGTTCTCCAAAGCCTGTGTTATCCTCAAGCTTGGGTACGATCGTGTGCCGCGAACCTTGTTGGTGTCTGGCTGGCAGACATAGCCAAAGCTAATTCATCGACCGGATATTCATCCATTCCTCTGGTCGGCTCTTCAGGCTTGGTACTGGATGTTACGTTGATGCTTCAAATAACTCGTTCAAGCATGTTTTGTTTGAAGGCGCCAGTCATATCGGAGGATCTTGCAATTCAGACTGTTCGAAATCTAATATTCCTTGGTCGCTGCTTTGCGCAGAATAACCTAGTACTTCCTCAAAAGGAGGCTGAAGAGGTGGAAGAAAGTGAATTCGAAGAAGAGGATCATGTATCCAATTCTAAACCTGCCAGGGAGAGCAAGACGGCCATTCAATATATATTTGAACAAGCAGCTCGAATCCTTCGAAAAGAAGTCCTTAACACTCGAGCAGAGTCACTCAACGCTAAAACGGCTTCTATGAAAATGGTTGCCGCGCTTTGCACTCATATCGATGCCTCGAAGGTGGTGCCATATCTACAAACTATCCTGCTTCCTCTTATACACCTAACCGACACTTCGATTCCGGCACCACGATCCTCAGATGAGATCTTCCAGAACACATACAAGTCTTTGGTGACGAGTAGTCAGGAGGTATTAGATATACTTCAGAAGAAGCTAGGAACTACGGACTTTGTGGCACACATAAGTGAGGCGCGGGAGCGGGTAAAGGAGAGGAGGGAAGAACGGAGAGTCAAGCGAAGGATAGAGGCCGTCACTGCACCAGAGAAGGTTAGCCGCGACAAGAAGCGCAAACATGATAGAAAGAGAGAAAAGAGAAAGGAAAGAGTGTTGGAAAACAGAAACCGTCGACATGAACTCTAAGCGTATTTTTATGTTTGGACGAATACTATCTCAATGGAGTCAGGGGTTTGGGGTATATAAAAAAAAGTAATTGGCCGGGGATGGATGGCGTTTGGAGGAATCTTGAATACATCATTGGCATTTTAGCATATGATAGATCCGGAGAAATTAAAATATTGTACAATCTATATAATACACGGTGCAAAAACGGAGATCATGTAGCAACTGATTTGACCCATTACCAATGCCCGGCCGCTGCCACTCTAAAGGATTATAACCACCCCGTGCGCCATTCATAGGTATCCAAATGATATGAAATACCGAAGCAAAACTTCAAAAAACAATTTGGCACAATCATGATACAGTCTAGACTTTTCCATCCTGGCCCTCGCCACCCTTTAGCTGAGCCTGCTCAGATGTAGTCTCCGTGCTAGCTTCAACATTCTCCTCATCTTTAGCCCACCATTCCATATCCCCCTCCATTGTCCCTTTGGTGATCTTCAGGCCTTTCTGCGCAAGCAAATCTTCAAGTGTGACAGGGGCATCTGAGAAGATTTTCAGATGATCACTGATAACATGTCGGTTGCTACAGCTTGGACAAGTAATCAGGATAGTTCCCTTATGATATCCGTGTTTTGAGATACGATGTGCCGACCTGTGCGAGCATGGTTTGCACGTAAAGTAGATGAGATATGCGGGTTCCTGGTCTCGTCGAGCTTGAGCAGCCTGTGTCTCTTCTTCCGTAGTTGCGGGTGTCTTGTTGTCTGTGAGCGGGTGGGGATCTCTGGTTGTCGTTGAGTAGCTGTTCCTACTCTGTAATGAAAACAATAGAGCTGGATGACGCGGTAGAATGCTTGATAATCGCGGTGATGTCTGTGGTAATGGGAGCGAAATAGACGTCGACTGAACTCCCGGTCGTGAGATATAAGCACGTGGAAGTCGGCACGCTGTCGTGAGCGTGTGTCGAAATAATCTCTGTCCAGTGGCCATGGTGATAAAATCTGCTCTTTTCCCGGGTATGTGTCGTCCTTCTTCTTGACCTCTTCTTGTCTTTTGACGTTGTCGTTTTAATCTTTTAATCTTCAGACCTTCGAGGCCAAAATTCTTAAGGTTTAAACTTTTAGACTTTTCGGGAAAAGGTTTCGCCGCTGAGCCGTCTCGGAGATAAAAAAAGTTCCCCGCGAAACGACAAATAAGAGTGACAACTTCAACATCCCTTTGGGAAGAAGAGGACGAAGAAGAAGCTGCGCAGAGCGGAAGGAGAAGCAGATAGAACAGGAGAGACGGTCTGCTGCCTGGCTAGTGCTAAAGAAGAGAGACGCACGCATTGTTTCTTTGCAATGTCCGGGGTCTGAAATGTCCTGAAGGCAGCCTCCAAAACGAGCCCCCGCTACATAGATTGGATATAAACACCAGCTTATCCAGCTTCCTTTTTTTCTGCATTCTTCCTCCTACTTGAATACTTACATTCTTTAATCCTGGGTAGCTTTTTCTTTCAAATATAGCTTTTTCTTTTGGCTGCACTTTACCATGAAACCGCGCGCTAAAGTCAGGGTCCCAAGGAGGGTATGTATCGCCCAAGAGCTTCACACTGGAGATATACAGTCACATATCTTGACCAATTAAACACTATATCTCTGTCCTTGTCGTATTTTATTGTATGAGAGCTTTAGTTCCATTGTGACTTCATTATTAATATTGTTTTTTCCTTAGGGCATGACGGGTAGGAATGAAAATGACGATTTTGCCTCAATATGGAATATACTTGCTTCGTCGATACGGGAAATACACACAAAAAACTCCTCCCAGCTCTCATTTGAAGAGCTTTATCGCAATGCCTACAAGCTAGTCCTGCGGAAGCAGGCTATGGACCTGTACGAAAAAGTTGCCGAGTTAGAAAAAGATTGGCTATACAATGACGTTCGTAAACAAGTCGCAAGCCTGATCACTCCAGCTCTCCTTACCATTACGGACTCTGCCGACGCAACTGAGCATGCAAACGAAAGAAAAGCAGCTGGAGAGCGGCTACTGGCCAAGCTTAAAGAAGTCTGGGAAGATCACCAGCTCTGCATGGGTATGATTACCGATGTCCTGATGTACATGGACCGGGTTGTGATGCAAGAACTCCGAAGTCAGTCCATATACGACACGTCAATGGGTTTATTCCGTGACTGTGTGCTAAGAGCAGATATTGGCGGTGAGAACGGCACGATTGGCTCCGTTTTCGAAAATACACTGCTGTTCATGATCCTGCTTGAACGCGAGGGAGTGATAATAGACCGTGCGTTGATTAAACACTGTGTTTACCTGTTGGAAGGCCTCTATGAAGATGGTATTGAAGACTCAACTGGGAAGCTATACCATACCACCTTCGAACCTGCATACCTTGAGGCAAGCCGCAGATACTACGCAGCAGAGGGACAGCGGCTACTTACAACCACTGATGCAGCAACATTTTGCAAGAGAGTCACAGCTAGGATCAGAGCAGAGCAGTCATTGTGCCAACAGACTTTATCTCCTGTGACAGAGGCCAAGGTCATGGAAGTCATCGATGACTGCTTGATCAGACACTATATCGGAGAGGTAATACGTATGGATGATAGCGGGGTTAAATACATGATTCAGAATGACCGATTGGAAGACCTTAAGAATGTTTTCGAACTTATTGCTCGCATTGATGCAAAGAAAGTTGCATTGACCAAGGTTGTTCAACAGACAGTTATTGAATACGGGACTGCTGTCAACACTGCTGCTAAAGAGCTCTCACAAAATCCACCAGCTCCTTCAGCGACAGACCAGGGGAAGAAATCCTCGGCACCAGATGAAAAGCAGCCGGTTGCAAATCTGCAGACTGCGGCGGCTATCAAGTGGGTGGATGACGTTTTAAAACTGAAAGCGAAATTTGATCGAATATGGGAAGAGGCTTTTGTCAAGGACCAGGCATTGCAAACCGCTCTTACCCTCAGTTTCTCAGACTTCATCAATGTCAATCCTCGAGGCACTGAGTACCTATCCCTCTTCTTTGACGAGAACTTGAGAAAAGGCATCAAGGGCAAGACGGAAGAAGAAGTTGATGCCCTGATTGACAACGGCATCACCTTGCTAAGATACATTCGAGATAAAGACCTCTTCGAAACGTACTATAAAAAGCATTTGTCACGTCGTCTGCTTATGAAACGGTCAGCAAGCATGGACGCTGAGCGACAAATGATTACAAAAATGAAGATGGAAGTAGGAAACACATTTACACAGCGGTTGGAGTCCATGTTCAAGGACATGGCTGTCTCTGCTGATCTCACTACTAGCTATCGGGATTATATTGGAAACAATTCTCGGATCGAACTAGAGATGAGCGTCCTCACAAGTACCATGTGGCCCATGGAGATCATGAGCAGCCACAACAGAGAAGGCCAGGTGCAACTTCCTTGCATCTTCCCGAAAAATATAGAATCTCTCAAGCAGAGCTTTGAACGATTCTACCTCGACAAGCACAGCGGAAGGAAACTATCGTGGCTTCCAGGTATGGGTACAGCCGACATTCGCGCGACGTTCATGCGACAAAATGGCAAAGTTGAACGGCATGACTTGAATGTCTCTACGTACGCAATGGTTATTCTGCTTCTGTTTAATGATTTGCCTTCCGGCGAATCCCTTACATTCGAAGAAATCCAGGAAAAGACCAGGATTCCCACCAACGAACTTATCCGAAACCTTCAATCCCTTGCCGTGGCACCAAAGACTCGTGTGCTTCGAAAAGAGCCCATGAGCAAAGGCGTGCAGCCATCCGATAAGTTCTCGTTCAACGAGCAGTTCACCAGCAAGTTCACGAGACTGAAGATTGGCGTCGTAAGCGCCAGCGGGAACAAAGTAGAAAACAAGGAAGAGAGAACAGACACTGAGAAAAAGACCAGTGAAGAGCGAGGCAACACAATCGAAGCTGCCATTGTTCGAATCATGAAGTAAATAGCCATCTCTCCCCCGTTATGTCTCAGTACATTCAACTAACATGCTATCTAGGCAACGGAAAACACTGGCTCATTCACAGTTGATCACGGAGGCAATCTCACAGCTTGCAGCTCGCTTCACGCCAGATGTGAACATGGTGAAGAAACGTATTGAAAGTCTCATTGATCGGGAGTACTTGGAACGTATCACCGATTCAGATCCCCCGGCCTACTCCTACGTTGCGTAGATGGGGCGAATATGTTTCTATCATCTGTCTAGAGTTTAGAGCTGATGTATGAAGTAACTAGTGAAATGGTAACTAATAATGATGCCGGGATGCCAGCAGAGGGCGTTATTTGGAGGTTTTGGTCTTAGAGTATCACAGCATCATATTCTCATGCTTCTAGAGAGCGAAAGTACTGGCGTTTCTCTTTGAATACTATGTCTGGTCATATTCTTCGAGTGTCGGATAGGATGTTAGGGTTGACTAATTTTAAATATGATGCAACAATTCCTTAGATGCTAATTAACAAGCTACATGGTATCAAAATGCTCGTTGAACTATATACTTATGTCGTTATATCGTCAGTAACCTCCCATACTCCATACTACATATAGCCAATAAAAAAACTCCAACCGAAATCCCATGTACCAAAAAGAAACTGGCTAAAGAACCTCGATATCCCCCCGCTTCCATGCATCCTTAACACCCTCCCATCGAACAACCCATATCTCACCCCTCGCCATGCTCCCACCATACCTCTCGAGGCCAGCCATCCCTTCCTCACCCTCTGAAGCAGGGATAACAATCCTAGACTCGTCGCTCAAACACCGCACGAAAACAACCTCTTTATTCTCCGGCGCAACAACCATATTCGTACCACCGACGTTATCATCGAGCCTTTTCAGGTTTGCAGGGAACGTAGAGAGGAATGAAGCATTATAATGTGTTGTTAACAGCGACTGGTGGCCGCGTAGAAACTGCAGTTCTTTCTCAGAGAGGAGGGACGCCGCATCTGTGCCCGCGGGGGTTTGTGTTTCCTGATTCATCGATATCCGCAAATAGTATATGCTATACTTGATAAGTTTTGATAATCTCTGGCGCAATATTGAACGAATGATGTATTGCGTTCGCGCCAGATCGGACTGCATTATTGATAACTTGAGGTTCAGCGTCGGCTTGTTCTGGTTATTGTTCTCCGGTGAGAGCGGGTCGGCTGCTGCCATTGAGAGATCCTCGATCTTCGATATCTTGTACATCACCAGCTCGGTTAGCAATTACTTGTGAGACGGGCAGTCGCCCAATGGCATATTGAGTGAAATGGATATCTACCTGCTTTGAAACCCTCTCCATCATCCGGTCCATCAACGCCCCGGGCCATGGCAGCAATTCAGGAACAGCCCGCTCCGCGACCCAGAACCGCGTTAGCTGCTGGTGGTCGACGGCTGTGGCCTCGGGAGAAGAGATATCACCCCTGTCAACCGACGCGAGGATATCATCGATCCCAATTCCCTCCATCTTGTTCCCTCCTTCGCTTCTCCTCTTTCTCGTTCTTTGCTTATCGTCGATCTTTGCTTTTGCGCAGCGTGACTTTGGCGTTCCCGATATTCCAATTTTTGTCAGTGCGAGAGATATTGAAGCTAAATTTAGAATTTTGCGGCTAAAAAAAAGCAAAAAGTGATGACGTAGGTCTTGGCGCGGTTTGTTTGTTTACACGACGAAAAAGAAAAGCCGAAAGAAGCGAAGGAAAAGACGCGAAGGAATGAAGAGAAAAGACGAGAAAGTAAATTGATACTGTTTTTTATTTATTTTTTTTGTATGTTATGGTATGTTAATCGTATGCTGTTCTGCTAGACAAAGTAGCTGCATATGTAGAAAAACCGGCTAAAGGACCCCCGATCCTTTAATCCTTTGCTCCTTCGCTTCCAAACTCGAGATAAGAGAACAACCTAAGTGCAAGACCAAACAAGCACACGAGCACGCGTTATCGAGATCACCGAAAGAGAGTTGCATCGCAGCAGGTAAACATGGGCAGTGTGCTGTGTTCCTAAGCCCAGCTGTGAACTGCGTAGACCAACCTCGTGTAGTGACTCAGGCGTGCGTGGGTGTGGTATGAGATACACAAAAAGCGAAGAGGTAAATGTGGGGGCAAAATAAGCATGCAAACAGAGAACCTCCCATGACCTGACCGAATCTAGATGAACAGAGGAAATAAACTGAGAAGCGGTAAAGTCCGCTTCGGGTAGGGAAGAGCGAATGGGATCCAGTGGTTGTCGATGTTGTCGTTGTTGTTATTGTTTGCTGTTTGATGTTTGCTCAGCATAGCGTGGCGTCTGCGTGGCGGCGCGAGCACGAGGATAGAAGAGGAAGAAGAAAGAGAGGAAAACGAGGGGAGGCGAAACTGCGTTTAGCTTTGATGGCCAGACAGGCGATGCCAACATCGCATCATAGCCGGGGATCAGCAGCGGGGTTTGTTTCAGAATGAGCTCTGATCCGATCCGGTGATGTGGGAAGGCCAGGAAGTGCTAGAAGAGCGGGAAGAGAAGAAAGGAAAAGCGGAAAGAAAGTTGAAGGAGTGTCAGATAGATAGCGCGTTAGTGTTGGCGTTGGCGTTGGCGTTGCATTGTTGGTTCAAGGGGTCTTTCGGAACTCGTGTGCGGTCTTTCTTGTCGTCTCATGTGGAGGTGAAGGTGTGGCGCATGACGGATGTGGGAAACAGCTCAGCTCAGCTCGGTAGAGGCAAGTGTAGACAAAGGGAAGATAAACAAGGAAAAACAGGTATATCGACAAAGGAAAAATGGTGATGTTGGATAGGGAAAAACAAGGGGTAATTGTGCAGGATAATGGGTCAGTCAGTCAATCAATTGGACATGATCATGGAGGAAGCTGAGGGAAAGGGGGAAAGGAAACGCTTGCGCTGAGCCAAGTAATAATCAATCGCTCAAGATAATAGGGAAAAAAATAAAGTAAAGGATAGAATCCCCGTAAGAAAGTAAAAAAGGGTAGGCGAAAGGAAAGGGAAGAGAAGAAAAAAGGACACTATCAATGAAGAGTTCCGCTATGACGCTTCGACAAGGAAAGCAGAAGGGAGAACTTTTTGTGTGGCTTGAACGCTTTTCTGGTCGCTGGCGAACAAGATAAGAATCGAAGTGGAAAAAAGGTAAGGAAAGCAAAGGCCTTGTGACCATGCTATGGAATCAAGGGGTGAGGAAGAGGGAAAACAATGGAATGGTCCGGTGCGCCAGGCGTAAAGATGAGGGTAGAATCAAACGTTAGGACTTCAAGTCAGGTTAAGGCGTAACTCCATCAAGAACATTAGCACCCATTGGCAAGGGAGAAATAAAAAAGGCCGGTTGGTTTGCATGCTAGTATGAGAACATGCGTCGTTCAGCCAGACGGCCTGGAGAAAAGCCCCGTCCCAGGGGACTTTCGAAAGTATTGTTCATGTTGCGATCGGATGCTCCACGACATCGACCAGTCGGACTATCTTCCATTGGCGAGTTCTGTTGACCAAAAGCAAACGTCTGAGCTCGGGAGAGCTTTGACCGTTGCTTTACTTTACCCAGACCACGCTCGCATGCGAATTCGTGCTCCTTGGCAGCCATTTCGACGTAGTTTTGAGGGTAGCAGAGGGAGCTATGCTCGGCAAAGAAACCGCTGTATCCACCGTGGAGGATATACATCTCTGGGAAGGTCAGTTTAGGGTACTGGTCGATATTGACGGCTCGATCTCGGTGACGAATGAATTTGGCCCTATGGCGATTAGCAAGAGTACAAGGGAAAGAACGTATAGAGTGAAAGAAATCAAACGAACATGATTGGAGCACGGTGGGCGGAGTACTCGCAGTGAAAGATGAGAGCGGTCTTTTGCTTCATCTCTCCCTCGGTAAAGAGTTTTTCTGCAAGCTGCTCCTTGTCGTTGTAGTTGACTGCGCCGTTGATATGGCCGCCTTCATATTCGTATTCGAACCGACAATCTATTATGGTGATATTGTCAAACTGATCGCTGTATTTCCCATCGATGATGTCAACGAGCACGCTATTTTCAATCCTAGGCAGACAGTCTGGCTGGTCGTCAGGGATGAAGTGCGGCAGAGTCAGAGTTGGAGCAGAAGACTCCATGTCTGTGATAGACTGGAGAGCGGTGCTGGCGTGCATGGTGGTGTCCTCCTTGTCATCCTTGAGTACATCTTCTGGGTGCTCAAACATGCTAAGCGAGCGTCTGCTGAGTTTCCGCGGGCGAGAAAAGGGGTTGGACCCTCTTCTCATGGCACCGTAGCTTGGAGAGCCATTCTCTGGTACCTGTGCTAGTGCTCTGGACGATCGTGACCGTGGCGGGCCCGGAGGACCATTGGTACTGCTCCGAGCCGTGGAGGGGCTGTCTGGGTCATCTTCGAAAATCTCTGCCAGCGAGATTGGGGTCGAGGTGGAGAGCTTGCTGCCGCCAGCGAGGAACTTGAATTGCGGTGGCTGTGCAAGGGGCGTCCTTGAGGCGCTGTAGGCCTTGGTACGCATAAGGGACGGTCTCAGCATTGGAGCTTTTCGGCGTCTAAACACACACCAGTCAGTCTACCACCCGCTTTCAAGCTGATAACCAATATGGAGTTTTGATAATGGCATAATAAAAAACTCACTCTGACGGCGTGGATGACCGGCTAGGCTCAATAGGCGACTGTTGCAAAGTATCAGACAGAAACAGGGACTGCTGGGACTTTGCCATAGACAACTCCATCGTGGGAGACTCTAGATCCAGGGCCATGCCGAAGGGGGCCTTGTGCGGCAGCGGAGACATCTCCATGATATCTGTAGGAGCAGGAGAGGAGGGTATCGGCGGGGTTGTTATTGTATCTACCACGGTCATTAGCCTCTATATACCATATAATCCCGGGTCCCGTGCCCTGGGCCCCTTCGTTTTAGATATATATAGTTATATATATAGGAGACACAATGGAAGGGTGTATATATACCATTATCCGAGCAAAACAGATTAGCTGAAAACAGCGACCTGCGAGGCGTAGCCAACTGCGGACTGAAAGAAGTTAGACAAGACAAGAAGACATGACAGGGACAGGACAAGGACAAGCAAACAAGGGAAAGAAAAAGAGACTGTTTGTTTGCCCCGGATATACCAAGACGCACCTCTGGTCGATATGAAAGTTCTGGGAGAGGTCTGCAGCGAGGGAGACGGTGGGCGAGGGCCGAGAAGCAGGCTTGACGGCCGTGAAGTAGTCAGCCCTCGCCCGCTTCATGGAAAGATCCCTGAAGTTGAAGCTGTCAGGGCCAAAGGAGGGCACCGGGGCCGGGAACTGGGTGAAGGAGCTGGCAGGCTCTGCTCTGAAGCAGTGGCCGAAGTGGACAGAGGGAGGATGCATGGCAGCCAACGGCGAGGACTGCTCCATAGTGGCAGGGCAGTCAGTCAGTCAGCTGTCTATCCCAGTGTAACCAGCACAATGTCTGTAGCAAGATTCCTCCCCGTAACTAGCAGACTGTAGATGTCCTCGGCCTGCTGAGTCTATCTCTCTCTCTCTCTAGCTGTCTCTCTAAGCTGTCTCTCTCTATCCCTGGTCTGTAGCTCTAATCTGTTTGGTTGGAGGTTTTGAGGTCGTGAATGGTTCGTAGAGGCGGTGCTGCCGGCCTGGCTGTGCAGCAGCGTTCCTGTTCGGCCCAAAACAAAGGTCCCGGTTGCTGGAGAAGTCCCAAGAGCGTCCCCAGGTCCAATCGAGCCGGAACGAAGAGATGACCGTCTGCAGGGGGTTCTAGTTTGCCATGGCGGCGGTGGTGGTGGTCGTTGGAGGAGGAGGTGAAGGTAGGTGGTGGTGGTGGTGATGGGTGCTAGAGAGGGCAGAGGGGGGTCAACATAAGTCGGCAGCAGCGAGGTCGTCGTTCGTGATAGAAGATGAAGAGCAAAGAAGATGAAGAGAAGAAGATGAAGAAGAATAAGAAGAAGAAGACGAAGACGAAGAAGAGAAAAAGAGACGCTGTCCCGTCTGTTGCAATGGGCAACGGCCAGGCTGGTATGCAAAAAAGAAGAGGCCACTCAGAATTGCACGGAGCGAGCATGAAAGGGAAAAGAAAAAAAGGACGAAGGTTAAGTAAAGTTCCTTTTCGGGTGGTATCCTTTTTGTATGTAAATAACTAACTGGAGGTATGCACGAGGTATGTTTTGTACGGGGTGGAACTATGCAGAGCTACCCAGCAGCCATGGCGAGGTACTTCTGTTTTGGTGGTGATCGCCCGCAAAAGCGAGGTACTGCTGCATAGGGCCGGGGTACCTGGCCATCGCTGCAGCCAATCCGACGCATCGCCCTCGCATCGCTGCGCTGCTTGCCGCCCTGCTAGACGAGCTACTGCATCCACCGTCACAGGCGAGCGGCCTGGCTGGCTGCTTGCTGGAGGCCAGCGTAAGGCTGACCTCGCTGTTTGTTTACAGGTTGCTATCTACTTAGATCTGGAGCCGGAGCCGGAGCTGGAGCTGGAGCTGGAGCTGTATAAGCTGGTGGCTATAGATGGAGCTCTCTCTCTCTCTCTCTGTGGCCGGTTCTGATGGTGATATAGAGATCTGCGGCGAGCCACGGGAGCCGCTGCATACTTGCAAACAACCAGGCGGACGGCGAGATGCTGTATTTTAATACGTATGTGTGTACGGAGTATAGATATATATTACTGGTACTGAGGGAGATACGGCATATATAGTTATACAGTATTGTCCTGCATCCTCCCGCCCACCACACTCTTCTCCTGGCTGTGTAGTAGATCTCCTGCCTGGCTCAGGGTGCCGGGTGTCGCTGTCGACGATGTACAGACCGTTCGCTGACAGCAAAACCGTGCGGCACACAGATCTTGTCCGATGCCTCTCCCCTCGTCCTCCGTTCGCTGTCTGCTGCTGTCCCGGCGGCAATGGGGGCCTCCGTGGTCATGCTCTGTCCCGGGTGGAGGACGTCCGTCTGGTAGCCGGAGTAACCTGGTATTCTGTGCTCCATAGATACCATGGTAACTAACTATACCACCATGTAACCGGACAGCGGATACTCTGTATGTAACGACCGGTCCAAGGCACAAGGTACGGCCAAAAAAACCAAGGATGTGGATGGATCTGGATGGCCGCATCAAAGAATTTCATGCAGGTCACTCTCCTTCGTTTCTTGGACCCTCAATGCCTCGACTCGCCCTCGTTTCTCGATCTCCAACTATCGATTCTGATATGCCTAACACAAAATGGAGGTTCCGTGCCACTGGTTCAAGCAATCCGATTCAGTTGGTACGCAAGGAGCACAGAGCCAAATATTGGATTCGCTCTCTCTTCCCCCCGCCCCTCCCTGGTGAGAAAGCAGTGATGCAGACTCCGACTCCGTTGCCATCGCCGTCGCCGGGTAACACCAGTTGTCCTGGTAGCAGGCTTCTCCCCTGTTGGCCCTGGACCGCCCAAAACTCCACCCTTTCTTTGCATGTTTTGGAAACACACGCGCTATTTCCGGTATTCTCCTCTTTTATTTTTTCGATCTCTGGTCTCTTTTACTCCGTAACTCCTCTTGGTTCTTCTTCTGCCGCTGCGAACTATTGCTGCTGCTGGTTGCTAGACCCCCTTCCCCATCGTCTGCTGCAACAAATTGCATATCGAGATGCATCCATGCTCGGTCCCGGACGTCAGGTTACTTCCTCCAGCCAGCCAGCCAGCCAGACACTCGCATCCGTTCCCCAGAACGAAGGATTGAGCGAAACTCGAAGAAGCAAAAAGGAAGCCAAAAAAAAGAAAAAAAAGTCAATCGGGACAGTGCGAGATCTAGTCTTATTGGGCCTTCTCACGAACAGGGAGTCATTAGCGCTTCGTATCACCAGGGCAGCCAGCCGCGAAATAGAGTTGAGAAGCCAGCTGGACAACTTTCTTGCAGCTCCTCCTCTCGTTGCTTTTTTTTCGGCTCTTCTGCTTTCTCCTCTTTGGTCACTGCTGCTGCTGTACGGAGTACAGCTGCTGGTGCTGCTGCTTTGCTATATTTGTACAATTGTTGGTTCCATGGCCCGGCTCGGTTTAGTTCCATGCATCTCTCTTCCTCTCGTTGCATGGTTGCTGCATCAACTCATGCATGCATGCCACAGCAGAATCCCCGAAAAGAGCAACGAGAAGATGGCCCCCAAAGTTCGACAAGCCAGAAATGGGAGCTCACTATTCGTCAGCCTCCATTCACATCCCCCCCCCTTAAGCCCATGAGCATTGGCATCATATGCTTAGTGTGGCCACTTAAGCCGCAGGGATCAATTCGGTTCCTGTCGACCCCCCCAGCACATCACACGCTGCTTTGACTCGCTCCAGCGAGGGGCATCCTTGACGATGGGCCTTCCAAGGTTTCTATTCTCAGCCCCGCGGTTGGAGATCATCGTCATCGATTCGAGGTCACAAGAACAATCCCTCCCTTGCCAGTGCCGAGTCTTGTTGCAGTTTGAGTCCAAGCAGTTTCCAGAGTGATGCCGTCTCGAGGGGTTATTATTGTTGTTGTTCTTATATTATTACTCTGCCCTTACAGGCATATCCGCTGTAGTATCATATCAGATCACATCGTAGACTGCATGGCAACATCAGACGGACGGATGTTAATGGCCAGGCTAACCGCCGATGACATTTCGCATTCCTTTTTCTTTCCTCGCAAAAAGAGAAATATATTAATACACCAGAGCAAAGAGAGCTCCATCTGCTCCGTTCGTCCATCCCCAAAAATATGACGAATAGCGGAGGATGTCCCCGATCGGCAAGACCGTCGAGCTCGCTAGTCGCAGAGGCGCCCTTCATCCCTGCTTTTGTCACGGTGGGGGGAAAGCCTGTGAAAGGCCTGTAAGCTCTGAAAGCCCCGAAAGCTGGATTTTCTGATTACTCTACACAAGTCCGTGATGCTCGCCTGGAGAAAGGATTAGCTTGGGGATCCGTCATGGCAAAGAAGACGCACCAGAAGCCCCATGGAAGACAGTCCTCGGCCCATGTCCCTGGCAGCTCGCAGCTTTTTTTCTCTTTCTCGCCCTCCCCCGGCTGCTTAAACTACCTTCTTGGGCTTGCTTGATGTCATGGCCGTTTCATCTGCGGCCTCAACGTCGCCCGGCTTCCAGTCCGTCTGTCTTGGATATAGCATCCATCAGCCGCCTCGCTCGCCCTCTCCGTCGCTCAGCCCTACTTACTTCCCCTCGACCGCGCCGCTGCCACCCCGACAGCCCTTTTTCCATCTCCATCTCCGTCTTTCTCTCTCTCTCCTTTCGCTTCTACTTTTGCTTCTTCTCTTTTTCTTCTCTTTTTCTTCGCGTCACAAAAGAAACAAACAGAAAAAAGGCGAGAATAACACGAAACCACGTGACCTCTCCTTAACCAAAAAAATCGTCTCGAAAAATAACATAGAAAAAAGACATAAAAAAACGGCCGGAAAAGATGCAAAAAAGAAGACGTACTCCGTAAAACAAGCCTAGATTGACGGAAATGATAAATACAATAAGTACGAGACTATTTGATACGCGGCGGTTTTCTTTCGCGGTTGCCATGGGCTTCGGGCCTCCGCATCGGCGCTCTAGCAGACGCAGGGGAAACTTGCCTGGGCAACGGTGTAACTCCTTAACACTGCAGCTATACGGATACAGGACGGTCAATTGATGTTAATATTACTCTCATTATTACGGGCTGATGCTGATACGGATGGACAGAGTAGGGACATGAAGCACCAGGGAAAGGGAGGGGTTTCTTTTTCTCCTGGACGGCCATGGATCGGAAATTTCCTCTGACCTGTCTCGCCGTTTTGCTTCTTCCAGCGTGTTTCAATATTCAATCATGCTGGTTGCAGAGTTTTATTTTTGAAGCCTGCGGCCCATCGATGGCCATAATATTACATCAAATAAGACCCTGACCAGTTCCACCGGGGGCCCTTATTTTACAAGCGTTGATACGTACAAAGGAGATGATATATACTTATATAAGGGGCTAGACAAAGACGGACGGCCGCCTCACTCTTTGGACATTCATTACTAGGCCCATCGATCATACGGAGTACTCAATTACTCAATACACCGTCTAATTTATCCTCAACCTAGCTGTTTGCCAAATCAGTTACCTCCCCAACCGGCCCTCAATCTCCTCACACACGGCGCTGGTCACCTCGGCGGTGGTCTGCTGGCCTCCCAAGTCCGGCGTGGCCACTCCTTTCTCACACACGGCCTCGACACACTCCAGCAACAGAGCGGCCGCCTCTTTCTCCCCGAGCCACCGCAGCATCTCTGATGCCGTCCACAAGGTTGCTACGGGGTTTGCTTGCTCGGTTGTTAGCAAGCTGACGGAGTACAAAGAAAAGAGTGGCTCGAGAAGTCAAGTTGGATGATATCAAACAGGGAATGAGTTGGAGTTGGTGCCGGAGTTGGCCTTGGATGAACATAAAACACATAACATACCGATGCCTTTCCCGGTTATGTCGAATGCAGAGCCGTGTATGGGCTCGAACATCGATGGATTCTCGCGTGTCGGATCGAGGTTGCTCGTGGGTGCTATTCCAATGGAGCCTGCCAGGGCCGCCGCCAGATCTGATAGAATATCGGCATGCTGGGGCAGCACGAGAGAGAACCATGTCACTTGTCAGCTGCCTCCGCTCAGGTATGACGCATTTGGTGCACCACAAAGGGCCTCTGGAGAACCATGACGTACCAGGTTCGTAGCTACAATTGTATCCAGGCTCCGTGGCTTCAACACCATCCGAGCTGTCATCGCATCCACCAGCATCTTATCCCACTTCACCTCCGGGAAGTCCACGGCTACTTTGGCCGCCACCTCGTCCCAGAGCACCATCCCATTGCGCTGTGCATTGCTCTTCGTCACGACCGTCAGCAGCTTTCTGTCTCGACTCTGCGCCGTCTCAAACGCAAATCGCATGATTCGCTCCACCCCGTGTCGAGTAAAGATCGATACCTCCGTTGCTGTCTCCCAAGCCTGGCCGGCGTGGCTGCGGCCTCCTTGACCAGCATACTCGCCCTCGGAGTTCTCGCGGATGATCACCCAGTCTAGGTCTCCGGGCGAGCAGGCTCGAAGGGGGGACTTGGTGCCGCGGAAGACCTTTGTTGGTCGTACGTTGGCATATTGTTGCAGGGGTTGACAGATAGCCAGTCTCAGGCCCCAGAGTGATATATGGTCAGGCACATCTATCATCTTGGCTTAGTATCACATCACATTCTTCATTGCCTGGTTAACCCAGTGCCATGGTAATCAGGTACCGTAGCTACTTACCAGGCGCCCCCACGGCCCCGAAGAGTATCGCATCGAACTTCTTCAGCGTAGTCAAGGCATCGTCCGGTAGGTACTTGCCATGTTTCTTGTAGTACTCGCTGCTCCAGTCGAAGGTCTCAAAGTCCAGCTCAAACTTGCCCAGAGACGAGGCCAGCTTCTTCAACACCGTTATCCCTGCACTAATCACCTCAGGGCCTATTCCATCGCCAGGTATCGAGGCAATCCGATATTTCTTCTGTTCTGGCATATTTATCTTCCGTAGCTGGTGTCCGTATCCGATGCCTGGATGTATCATGGGTGGTTTATATGGTCGATCTCGGGACTTTTGCCGGAGTTAACGCCGAAATCCAATATGTAGTAGGTAGAGAGGTAATATGCCTTTTCTGAAATACTGCTTATGATAGCTGCCAATAACTTTATTCTACTGTGTTAATGTCATTTTGGATGCCCTAAGAACTACCGTGCAGTGAATTTAACATGCCACGCATGCTGCTGCTCTGAGCTGGAAGCCTCTCATACATTAATATGCTGACAAAACTCCAATGTACCAACATATCGATGATACCCCAAATACCAGTATATAGAGCCTCTGCTTCCACGAATAACTGCCAAAAAGTATCTCCTCTCTTCTCAGGACCCAATATTATACATAATCTACCGAAAAATGCTTTCGTACGGATGTTTTGTTCATTTATATTATTTCAGGCGCTAAACCCAAAAGAGCCGCATCCATGCTAACCGCATTGGGTAACGAAGATTTTCGAACGAAAAATCGACTTTGAAGATATCAAAATCGGCTTCCAGCTTGGTAAAACATATAAAGACGCCTGGAAAAGCAGTTGGGGATATACCAGGGGGAAAGTTTGACATAGATGCGCGATGTCATCCCTCAATCCCAAGAAACGCCGTCGCGAGAGGGTCAATGTGGACGTCAAACTTGTAGAAATTTACGATGATTTGAGCAACGAGAATGATGAAATCAGGCTCAAAGCTGCCGGCGAGCTGCTCTCGCGTTTCACACCAGAAGCGAATCCAGCACCGGAGGATGTTGAGAAAGCTCTGCTGCGGCTGTTCAGGGGCCTATGTAGTAGCCGCAAAGCTGCAAGGCTTGGGTTTTCAATTGCATTGACAGAGTTGCTTTCTATACTCTTTGGTCAGGCTGAGGGTGAACAGAAGAGCGGTCTTGCAGGATGGGACGTATCCAAGGCAATTGACCTTCTTGAGTCGAATACAAACACTACCAGTGCTGAGTCCGGACAGGTATGGATGCCCTCGCTAGATTTTCATTCAGACTGCTAATTCCATACAAGGAAGAAAGAGACCACCATTTTGGTAGGCTGTTCGGCGCAGAAGCTATTTTGAAAAGCTCTATTCTGTTCCAGCCTGATGTCCCGTTTGAGAACTGGACTAGACTGCTCTCTCTAGTATTTGAGTTGGCCAAAAAGAAACCATGGCTGAGAGAAGAGTGTGGATATATCATTTTCTACGCTATCTGTGATATCGGTGCACGAAACCGGGGAACTAAATATGTCGACTCTGCTCTTGCTGCTCTGTGTGGGAATAACCTTGCCAAAACCCCCGAGGGCATCGCTATCTGGCTGGCCGCCATGGACCTGTCATGTTCTCCACCAGTTGTCTTTCCTTCTGGTGTTTGGAGTCACGATAACCCTTTAAATTCGCGCGAGAAGGCATCTTTGGCTAAAATTATGAAAGAATCCTCCGGCCAGGACGCTTCTAACGACGAAGAGTCAAAGGTCAAGAACCCTGGGGTTTGGAACCCGAAGCTCCCTTTTGCCTGGGCCCCAATTCTCACCAAGTTATATTCTACAGCTGGTGGAAAGGGTCAAGTCGAGGGCAAGGGGAAAAAGGATAAGACAGCGCAGTTGTCTTTTCTCGACTTTTGGACTGAAGTCGTTGACTGTGAGTTACCCCTCCATTTTTACAGGTTTCAGACCATACTAACGTGTGTCTAGGCGGATTGTTTGCTGCCGCTTCATCAGAAGAACGCAAGTACTGGGGTTTCCTCGTTTTCATGAAGGTCCTCAACGAAGCATCTATAGAGGTAGCCAGTCAGATCTTTACACAAAATTTCATGCGCTGTTTGATGAACCAGCTTGCCGTTGAAGACAGATACTTGCATAAGATTGCTGTCAAGGCTGCAAAGTCGATACAGGCTCGTGCCTCCAAGGAGCCAGACTTTGCATATCCTGCCTTATGCGGCCTTATGGGACCTCGGGGTGCAGTCAACTTTGACCAGATTGCCAAAGTCAAGGTTGTCGAGAAGATTGTCGCCGATGTATCCCACACCGCAATCAAGCAGCTCATGCCGTTTTTTGAAGGCCTAATTGTCAACCCGGAAGCTGATGTTAAGGCGGCAGCTTCCAGACGTCAGCTCATTGCCAACTTCCTGCAGACCATTGTTAAATCTTTTATCACATCTGCTAAGGAGGATGATTCCGACGAACTAGATTCAGCTGTTCAGGAGATCGTCCTCACTCTTGCGAGATACACCTACTTTTCAAGTGATACGGCTAAGCCTCCTATCAGTGATGCTACCAGGGAATTGTTCAGAAACAAAATCATGGCTTCTCTAAATATTGTCATCAGCAACCAGAAACGGCCCTCTGACATCGCGTACAAGGTTGTCCAGAAAATTAGAGACATGGAGGAGGCTGGAGATTCAGGCAAATCCATCATCGATATGAGTGACAGTATATCTGAATCCGTCCATTCCGCCTTTAAGACCCTAAAGAAGATTAACAAGAAGGTACGTCTACACTTTCTTGCCGTGTCTAGATATTCGACTAATCTGTTATAGGGTAAACAAGAGGATGGACAACAAAACCAGGCTGCTCAGGGGCTTAAATTGCTTTACTCCTTGACAATACTTCAGGTATACAACGGAGACGCGGATGCAGCGTCAATGCTGGATGAGCTCAAGATGTGTTATGACAAATTCTTAAGCCACAAGAAATCCAGCGATGAAGAAAGCGGGCAAGCTTCTGACGCACTGGTTGAAATACTGCTCAGCTTTGCTTCGAAACCATCTCATTTATTCCGAAAGATGAGTGAGCAAGTATTTGGAGCTTTTGCAGACAAGCTGACCCCTACAGGCCTCCAGTCTCTACTTGCGGTAAGCGTTCTTTTATATACATAGTTTCGACATGAGCTGATTCCTATAGATCCTCGATGCAAAGGAAAGCCTAGCGGGCCAACAGGAGCTATTTGATAGAAATGATGATGAGGATGAAGGAGAAGAAGACGACAACGACGAACTGGATAGTGACGTCGAAATGATTGATGGCTCCGATGTTGAGGTTATTGACGGCGAATCGGACTCCGCATCAGACGAGTCAGAAGAGGAAGATGAAGAGGAAGATGAAGGAGACGAGGAGAACGAACAAAACCTGGCTGAATTCGATGCAAAACTCGCTGCTGCACTGGGTACCCATCGCGCAGACAAAGACCTTGAAGCATCTGACGGATCAGATGATGGTTCCGACATGGGAGACGATGACATGGAGGCTCTAGATGCCCAACTTGTCAAGGTCTTCCAGGCCCGCGAGCAAGCCTCAAGCAAGAAGAAGGATAAAAAGGACGCCAAAGAGACTATGATCAACTTCAAGAACAGAGTGCTCGATCTACTGGAGATATACATCAAGAAATGCCACTCCAAGTCCCTGGCTCTGGAAATTATCGTTCCGCTCTTGCAGTTATTGCGGAGGTCGAGTGTTCAGCAACTTGTACAGAAAACGGCGAATGTTTTGCGGGAGTATACTCGGCTCTGCAAGGGTCCAGGTGTACCTAAAGTTGAATCTGACGAGACTGTCTGGGGTATGCTTCGAGAGGTCCATTCTGAGGCGATGCATAGTGCGTCTGGCCCACATGCTGCGTCGTGTAGCCAAGCAAGTCTGCTTCTTGTGAAGGTGCTTGTGGCTCATGATAAGGAGTCTGTGTCGGGAATCGTGGATATCTATGCTGATACAAGGAAGAAGCAGCTACTGAGCAATAAGTGTCATGTCCAAGCGTCTTTCTTCTCTGATTGGAATAGTTGGTGTGTCTCTGCCTGCAAGCAGTTGAAGAATTGATTTCGCCATTTAAGACTGTGACATTAGAATACAGATAGACTAATAGAGAAATGATAGCGCTGACGAGGGTTCTGAATTGATATATAAAGCTGTAGTTTAATGTGAAACGAGCATATTCGGCAAACAACCACTTCGTCCAATAGTCCAATAGTTTATATTACTACTGGAATACAAAGCCAAACCCGCCTATCGAGTAATTATGAAATACACGGAGTAGAAACCGAGATATAACATGCCAAAGTGGGTAAAGTTCATAGCCAAACGGTATCTAAGTAGGGAAACATAATGCGCGCCACCTGGAATGTACTGTACTGTCTGTACAGAAGTCGAGATACAAAAGTAACATGGCCAGTATATATACGGTAACAATGTTTTTCTTTCTGTCTGTCTGCCTTGGTCTCACATGTGACCAGGAAACGATGCCACTGTATTAAGACAAACAATATTATTAGGGGAAGGGGTATTATCATCTACCTCCAATCCGCAAAGCTGGGGCCGGCCCGGGGCCAGGGATATGGGTCCAAAATGAAGGGTATTGTGTAAGAGCTTGTCTAACATAGGGGACCGTTTTGTAGCACAATACGGGGTGTGCAACGCCGCGGGTGAGTTTTTGAGCTATCCAGTCAAGGCTCCGCAGAGGTGTGCATAGGTTGGTATCGAGGGCCAGATATGCTGCGCTTGTTGCCAAAGGCGGATTTTATCTGGTCTACGAGTCCACCCAAGGTGCTGTTTTGTACAGCAGGGGGATTTCCGTGACCATGACTATCATCCATAAGGCCAGAGCTGGGGCCGGGACTCTCGTACCCGTCATCCTCTTCGTCATCAGCCCCTTCTCTCTCCGAAAGGGCCTCCTTGCGCATCTTGGTGACTTTCATGTAATTGTAGTAGGCAATGCTTGAAATGGCGATGATCAAACCGATGATGTTGACCAGGCTGAGCACTTCCTTGAAAAAGATACCTGCTGCAGCAATGGTGATGACTTCTTTGAAGATACCGCAGATACTCAGTGTGACGACGGAAGAACGTCGAAGAAGAGCAAACTCAGAGGATATCATGCAAAAGGCTAGCATTCCGGGGAAGGAAAGGAAGCACAATACCTTGAAAGTCCCATGTTCAGCAGAGAGAGTCTGGATACCAGCGAGGATCTCATTGTATCCCTCGACGCCGAGTGCAATTCCAAGGAGAGAGACAAACATGATAGGAGTAAGCAGAAAGAGGGTCGAGAACGGGTTTGAGGTAGACGGGTGCCGAAGTAGGAGAATCTGAGTGAGAGCCCATCGGAAGCCAGAGAAAAAGGACGATGCTATTATTAAGGCGAACCCAACGGCGTGAAAGGACGCTTCTCCGGCCACCATCATGACCACGCCCAGTGTCATGGTACATATGATTAGGATGAGCTTTATGGAGGGAGTCTCGAGTCCAAAGATGATGGCGAAGAGAAGCACAAAGCCCAGGGCAGAGGACTTGCACATGGTGAGGAAGCTGAGGGTGATGAAGCGTAGGGACATGTTGCCCAGCCCGATATCGAGTGAAGTAGCACTCCCACATGGCACGAGACGGGTAAGATAAAAGATCGGTGTTAGTGAGGGCTTGCTGGGTTTTCCCGGAGCTGCATCAGGGCTGTTCAGCGGCGGCCGCAGAGACGGGAAAAAGTAGAGGAGTATGGAGGCGAGGATGAACTGAACGAGCATGTGGAGGCTGGTGGTGAACAAAGGGAACTTGAAGTTGAGGTTTGTCGGCGAAAACATCCATTTGTTATACTAGTTACCAGTAGTCAGTCAGCATTTGATATCAAGCAAAGCATATAGGCAAGGGGATAGCAAAAGAGCTTGACGTACCAGGGATATTGATACAGCAAAGAAGTACCAAAGTCCGATGAACAGGGCGTTGATGGCCAGCTTCTTCACCACCGCCTGGTCCGCCATGCGTAGAGCATTGTTTGGCACCATGCTGTCGAGCTCTTCACGCTGCTGTCTCTTCCTGGCGCGCCATTGCTTGTGGCGCCGCTGCTGGGGGGTGAGGCCTATCTCCTCGTCGTCGATGGGGGTGTCGTTGATGGTGGCCGTGAGCGACGGGCTGGCGCCGAGGGAGCCCATCCTAGACCACCAGCGGCGGTCGGCTCGCTTTCGGGGCTCCAGTTGCTTGTCTAACGTAGGGGAATATCTGTTGGGATGGGCTGTGTTGGTGATGCCGTGCTTTGGCCGTGAAGATGGCCGTTTGCTGGCTGCTGGTTGGTAGGAGGCAGGGAGGTCGCCTGGCCTGGGTGAGCCAGGCTGCCGCGGAGTGTAGGCCGTGGTGCTCTACGCTGCGTACGGCATGAGATATATCTTGTTCTTCTTTCCGCGTCTCGGTTCTCCTCTGGAGTTTGCTGGCTGATGCTGTTGTTGTCTGTTGTCTGTTTGTCTGCTCCCTTGCAAGGGTGAGACGGAGACGGGAGATTCAGCCTTTTTACTAGCAAAGCCAGCCAAGCAAAGTTCACTATCAACTTGCCAGCGTAGAGGATACATGTTCGGGCAGAATGTGAATATAACGGATTTACCTAGAGGCAGCGAGGACGATGGTATATGTATATGGCATGTCTTATTATACTACAATACCGCCTAGCTCTAACAAAGCATCAACGGCTTTGATATCGCGTGATGCCGTTTGACGTACAGCAACATATACAATGCATGCATATTTCATGGTCAGGCGTACATGGATAGACAGATAGATGGCTAAACAGATAGTTATGCTGCTCGACCAGACAGGAGGGTGTTCTCCCTGTTGCCCTTGGCCTCTTCTCTTCCCCCGTCCTTTCTCGCTCTCTCCCTACCTCCACCTGGGCGTCTTGCCTTCACCGCCGACTCGATTATCCCCCTTTCCTCTGGCCGCCAGGCGAGTTGCTCGCCGGTGCATTGCTGCGGATAGGAACTGCAACGGCTGAGCGAGGGTCGCGTGGTGTGGCTGCTGTAACATTGCTAGTGGTTGTGGTAGCAGGTGTTGCAGTGCCCGCCGTAGAACTCTTCCGGAGATGACCGTCTGTATTGCTGCTGCTGTTGCCGTTGTAGCTGTTGTTATTATTCTTAGGGAAGTTTACTGACTTTGCCATTGCCGTGCTGGCCCGGCGGAGCTCAATCTTCTTTCGTTCCATCTCGAGCTGTTCCAGTCAGTATACGAATATCTACCAATAGCAGTCTAGGGATACAATGGCGAACTGACCACTTTGCGCACTCTGGTGAGAGCAGTACCGGCTACCTCGTCTCTGCCAGCCAAGTTAAGAGTCTTACAATCGCCCACACCATACGGAGCAGCAATCACTACCGAGTCAGCAACGACAATGCTGGTCCCGCTCCAATGAGTTGGCATAGTCCGCTTGAATGCATCAAACAGGTCCTGAGCCTCCTTCGACACCCCCTTGCCCCTCGAGGAGTCATGGTCCTTTTGACGGGCGATGGCGTTAGTCTCGCGGGTCCGTAGCGCCCGGATGTCAAGCGGGTAGATGGCGGGTTGGGCGGATGTGAAGGGCCGACCAGGCGATGAGGGCGAGTCCGGGGCGAGAGAGAGCAGGTTAAAGCTGTGGATGCGGGTGACAGGGAGTATAGTGAAGTCCCCTGGCTGTGAGAGGGCAAGAGTAGGCGACGAGCTGCCTGTGGATGGTGTGTTGGCGCTGGTGTTGATAGCGATTATATTGGTAATGGGGCAGGCAGTGAACAGTGTTCCTTCGACCGTCACCGAGGCCGGCTGCGTCGTGGTTACGCGGATCCTACTCAATTAGCATATAATACCAATATATGGGAAGGCGGTAGAATATATAATGGAATATAAGGGGCCTGAAAGACCAACCTGGCGCCAATGGCTGAGCTGAGGGCCTTCTCCAAGCTAACTGTTCCCGACGGCCCAAAACCATGATGATCCTGACCCTGGCTCTGCTGCGACTTGCGCTTGTTCTCCGTCGCCATCGTGAATCGTCTGTCTCTTCTCTTCTCGTCGCTGTTGCTGATGGTGGTAGGTTGGGTCGCGTGCAGTCAAAATACGGCGTAAATGCTCCAAAGGACGATTCCAGGTCCCGACAAGAGCAAGATATCAAGGCGCAAACGATATAAATAAATAGCACTAAGCAGATAGACGTATCTGAATACTGAGATAGAGCTTGCAATGAGAGGAAAAGACAGCAAGCAAAAGAAGCAGAAGCAGAAGAATAGTATTAAAGTCGTTAACAGAACAAGAACAAGTGGGCCAAGGGGGAGCAGAAATGGGCACCGGCAAGAAACCCCTGTCGAGGAGAACAAGGAGAAGAGGAAGAGAAGAGAATATGAAAGAGAAGGCTGAAGCAAAGAAGCAAAGAAGAAGATTGAAGATTGTTTGAATCTTCTGGAGGTCGAGAAGAAAGAAAAGTTGAAGTTGAAGTTGGGAGTTTTGTGATGCTTATGTAAGGATGACGTTGATGTTGATGTTGATGTTGAAATTGATAAGAGAAAAGACATTATTAGATATTAAAGACGTGACGACGGTCAGAAGAGATGATATTAACGTAGATGTGGAAGTGTGTTTTATCTATGCTATCCGAGTACCCTGAGCCCGCCCTTGGTCTTCTGCTTCTTAACGCCGCCATCTGTTTTGCCCGCGGATGAGGACACCGGAGCGGGTGTGGCAGACGGCTTGCTGTAGCCGCTTCCACTGTGATGGCCATGTTTGCCTTTGCCCTTGAGATGCTTCCCCTTATTCGCACTCACTGGCCTGATCTCCGTCATGGCTCGTCGCAGCAGCACCGGGTGAGAGCCGATATACTTGCCCTGCATCTCCCTGGCAGCCTTGAAGTAATCGTCTCCATCCGAGAAGCTGACGAAACCGTACCCTTTGCTCTTCTCTGTTCGCTTGTCACGTATGACTCGTGCCTTTTGTACAGATGGATACTTTGAGAAAGCCTTCAGTAGTGAGTCGTCTGTCACTTCGCCGGCCAAGTTGCCGCAAAACAGTCGGAAGTGAGCTGGATCCCACTCCAGAAGCGTCGAGTCAGTCCATGTCTGGCCACCGCCAGATCGTACAACGGTCTTTGCGGGCTCGGTGGATTCCTGGCCTGGAACGGCAGCTAGGCCTTGGTTTGCGCCTGGTATAGGCGTGGTAGATGCTGCAGTACCTGACCCTGTTCCATTGGGAGGTGTCGATGTGCTTGACAACGGATCATGTAGGCGCTGGAAGGAACCCATAGGCCCGCCGTTGGCTCCCGTAGCAGCAGGTCCGGAAGCAGCCGCAGTCCCGGCGGCGGCTTCACTGCTGTCCTTGCTCATATATGCACTTTGCCACTGTGCTATCTGGGCATCCATCTCAGGGTCCCCAGACGATTCATTGTATCGCGATTGTCCTGACCGGGCTCCATATGAGTTTGTGTTATTGCGCTTTTGATATGTATTGTGTTGGCCGTATGTAGATGCGTTATACGGTCGCTGTGGCTGCGACTGACCATAGTACGATGTGGGTTGTGCCTGGTATGTCTGTTGTTGTTGTTGTTGTTGTTGCTGCTGCTGCTGCTGTTGATGATGATGATGCTGCGGCGGCTGGTGCTGGTGTTGGGGCTGGGGGTATTGATAACCCGCGTTATATACGGTAGAGTATGTTGGAGCTTGAGGCGCCCGGTAAGACTGCGCGGCTACGGCACGAGGTTGGAACCCGAATGCGGCACCAACAGCTGGTCTGGAGACATCCGATCCATGGCTGGGAGGCCTCGATACTGTAGATGGAGTAGTAGAGGAAGTTGGCGGAGCTGTGTATGAGGATGCGGTGGATGGCGGACGGGCGGGCAGCGAGGCCGGCGGCTGGGCCTGCGAGGCGGCTTGGGATGGCGGCGGGCGCTGTAGACCTGGAGGAGGCGGCAGGGACATGATGAACGGGTGCTCGACAGATACAGATACAGATACAGAGATGGATGGTAGAGTACAGAGGTGTAGGTAGAGGCAGAGGGTTGCCGTCGAGTGTTCTGCAGGAGATGCTTGCAGCACACGTACCTTGAGTCCGATCAGCCACCAGACAGCTGAGCTTCTCCTGTTGTTCGTTCTCGTCCTCCTGTCTCAGCTTCGGCTTGTTGTCTTCTTCTGCCCTTTTTCTTCCCTTCCTTCTTCTTTTTTTTCTTCTTGCTTCTTCTTCTTCTTCTTCTTTTGCTTCTCACCCAACTTTTCGGCCTGAAGAAGTTTTGAAGTTTATATCACGTGACAATAAGTCATGGATGACTGAGTCATCAAGCATTACTAATAACTGGTTAATGATATTACTAATAATATTAGCTAATATTTATTACTAATTTTGATTAATATTATTACGTAAATATTACATAATAGCTTCCCCTCGCCGCGACGAAAAACAAACAAGAAGAAGAAGAAGAAGAACGAAGACGATGAAGAAAGAAGACGACAACGACGATAACGACCGAAGACCGCGGAATACGAGATAAGGCGAAGGAAAGCCGGCGGACGACGGGGGACGCCCACCGGACCAGGAGGCGGCAGGGATAGGAAGACGCACGCTCAGCTCCTGGCCGCTGCAGGCCTCCCAAACCATCGAAACGCCAGGCCAGGATCTGATGCTGCCCCTCAGTGACATAATGGTGCATCCCAGATGCCTGCTCGTCTCGTTTCCCCCTCTTCCTCGTCGCGGACGTCAAGCAGACTCGGGCACAGCGACGACGGCAGCACCGGACACGACATGGCGTGGCAGGGCCTGTAGAATCTCCAGCAGTGGATGGGCCGGCGGGCGCTGGGTGCAGGTGGGCGGCGTGGGCAGCGGCGTGGGCAAGCGAGGGGGTGGGATGGCCGACGGCATACCTAGACGAGCAGTGTCAATTGGTAGAGCGAAGGCTGCGAGGCACTGCAGTCTGCGGCCTCTCTATATAACTAGCTTGTGTAAATCAGTATCCAGCGGAGCGCAGCGTGCAACCAGCCCAACCTCTGCGTCCTGTGCTATATAGTCGAGTAGGTAAACAAGATCTAGGACTTGAGTTCTGGCCTTCCGCTTTAGTAATCTTCCCGCCGCCGCCAGCTTTCTCCCCGCCTCAACCTCGACCTCAACGCCAACTCTGCTGCTTCACCACAGCTCCAGCTGCAGCGAACACACCTACAGACAGACGAAACGACACCAATTCGATAGACTCTTCACCATGGCAGACCAAGCAGTGTAAGTCCGGGCTCTCTTCGTGTACACAGATTCGTTTTGATGGAGGCTGGCTGACCTGGGACTGCCTGGCAGTGCTGACTTCGGCCTCATCGGCCTGGCTGTGATGGGCCAGAACCTCATCATGAACGTGGCTGACCATGGATTCACCGTCGTGGCTTTCAACCGCACAGTCGAGAAGGTTGATAGATTCCTTGCCAACGAGGCCAAGGGTAGGTCTTCCGTGCCATAGCTAGAGAAGGGAGGGGGGGTTGACTTGCGTGCTGATTGTTGGAACAGGAAAATCGATCGTGGGAGCCCACTCGGTGCAGGAATTCTGCTCGAAGCTGAAGAAGCCCCGTCGTATCATGCTGCTGGTCATGGCCGGCAAGCCTGTCGACGACTTCATTGAGAGCTTGCTCCCCTTCGTCGAGAAGGGTGACATCATTATTGACGGCGGCAACTCGCACTACCCGGACTCCAACCGCAGAACCAAGTACCTGGCCGAGAAGGGCATCCGGTTCGTAGGCACCGGTGTCTCGGGCGGTGAAGAAGGCGCCCGTTACGGCCCCAGCTTGATGCCCGGCGGTAACGAGGAGGCCTGGCCCTTTATCAAGGATATCTTCCAGAGCGTGGCAGCCAAGAGTGATGGTGAGGCCTGCTGCGACTGGGTTGGTGACGAGGGTGCCGGACACTATGTCAAGATGGTGCATAACGGTATTGAGTACGGAGACATGCAATTGATCACCGAAGTATGCCCCTCTTTACTTCTTTCCCACCTTCATGTCCAGTCCGGATGCTAACTGCCACAGGCCTATGATATCATGAAGCGGGGTTTGGGTATGACCCCGGCTGAGATTGGTGATGTCTTCGAGAAATGGAACAAGGGCGTACTGGACTCCTTTTTGATCGAAATCACCCGTGACATCCTCCGCTACAATGATGACGATGGCACCGCCCTGCTCGAGAAGATCCTCGATGCTGCCGGCCAGAAGGGAACCGGCAAGTGGACTGCTATCAACGCTCTCGATCTCGGCATGCCGGTCACCTTGATCGGAGAAGCCGTGTTCGGCAGATGTCTCAGCTCTCTCAAGGACGAGCGTATCCGAGCCAGCAAAGTGCTCAAGGGACCCGAGCCGGACTTCAAGGGAGACCGTAAGGAGTTCATCGACAACCTTGAGCAAGCTCTCTATGCTTCCAAGATCATTTCCTACGCCCAGGGATTCATGCTTATTCAGGAGGTGAGGTCCCTTCACCAATTGAACTACTTACTTCTTCCTCAAGTGTCACTGAACTAACCATCTGTAGGCTGCTAAAATATACAACTGGAAGCTGAACAAGCCATCCATTGCCCTGATGTGGAGAGGCGGCTGCATCATCCGCTCCGTCTTCCTCAAGGACATTACCAATGCCTACCGCACCAACCCAGACCTGGAGAACCTGTTGTTCGATGACTTCTTCAACAAGGCCATCCACAACGCCCAGGCTGGCTGGAGAGACGTAGTCTCCAAGTCTGCCCTCTGGGGAATCCCAACCCCTGCCTTCAGCACTGCTCTCAGCTTCTATGATGGCTATAGGTCGCGTGACCTTCCCGCTAACCTCCTACAGGCCCAGCGAGACTACTTCGGCGCCCATACCTTCAGAATCAAACCCGAGCATGCGAGCGAGAAGTATCCCGAGGGCAAGGACATCCACGTCAACTGGACAGGAAGAGGAGGCAACGTATCTGCCTCCACATACCAGGCTTAACTAACACTTAGTCCTTCGTTACAGCAAGTTGAAAAATTTCGTGCTTGAGCTTTGAATCTGAAATGAAACAAGGATGTAGAACAGGAGGATTCCTTTTATCTTTTTCCTACCTATAACTATATATTATGAAAGTTCCTTACCTTTTTTTTCAACATGTCTTTTCTCGTTCCTTTCCTCTCACTCGTTCAACGCCAGGTTAGGGAGCAGTACCATCCACCATTCACCACGAGACCAGTCCAATTGTTTATGCGTAACTCATATTCATCTTGGTATCAACTCCGAAATAGGACAACGTAAGTAAATACATAAATGGGTAAGTCATGTATATGAAGATGAAACAGTAAAGTAGCTAAAAGAAATAGAATAGAATAAAAAAAATCGACCGTACTCCGTATTTAAGCATCTGTCTCAACAATCCAGCTCTCCACCATGGCCCGGACAAGACCCACTACCACCTCAACGCCCATCTCCACACTAGCTTTATCTGTCCAGCCAGGAACATGCAAGAACAGCGCTGCCCGCGGCCTGTTCTCCTCCCACGCCATTGACAAGCTGGTGTAATAGATATATTCACACAGATAATGACCCGCATCATGAGATAGACGGACATCAATTGACCGTCCAGCGGGTAGACTTTTCCTCCACGTCTGCAAAAAGCCGGTATCAAGCGGTGACGGAATAACTCTCACCTTATCCGTAGACTCGGATGTAGAAGCATAATCAGCTGGTGTAGGAACACCCGGTTGTAGCCTCTCTGGCAAGGAGGGGTCAAACGGTATCCCGAACTGCCCATCTACATCTGTATGTTTGTACCCCTCTCTGTGAGCAACCGTCTCAACGGCATAGTACTGTCTGGTAGCAGCCATGCCGATGTGAATCACCAAGTGAGGTGGACGTCCGTCGTGGGCGACTCGGAACTCCTCGATGATACGAGGTATTTCCTCACGTACCGCGGCGTAGGCCACTCGGATCGGCCGTGGGTGGGCGTGGATGTGGACTCGGCGGTTTTTGCTGGTGGTAGCGTATTGTGGGAGGAGAGAATTGATTAGCCATGAGGGATTGAGGGGGTGGGTTTTGAATGGCTAGGTCATCGTCAGTAGGTGCCTTGACGTGCATTTTGGTTTTGGTTCTCGTTGTAGCTGAGGGGATGGGTATAGGGGTGGAATGCTTACGCCGAAACCGGTGACGAGGACATGGATGTCATCATCCTGGGGGGGAAGAGGTTGTCCTGGGAGCGAGACGGGTTCGTCGAGGGAAGAGGTGGCTCCGAAGTCACCCATTGTAAGTAGATGGCAGGGTATACTATGTTAATTGAGTGTGTATAAGCTGGTGGTGAGCACGGTTGGTGTAGCCGCGTGAGACAGCGGCTAGTGTAGATGGGTGTGGTGGAAGAAGCCGAGGTTCCTAACTAGCTATGACGCCACGACTAGACAGATTTGGAATTCAGACGATAAGAGAGATAAGGTGAGGAGATAAGATGACGAGCAGATGATGCTGAAGGAAGGATGAAGAGTCAGTGGCCCAGAGGGGTTGCGAGGCCAGTTATATAGCTCTGCCTCCAGCTGCGGTGGCTTGTCCAGCTGATGTCCGGCATCGCTCCGCAGAGGATCAAGAACTGCTGTGAATCTCCCTTCTGCTTCAAACAACTGTACCTAGTTTGACTATTTACTGTAACTACCTCAAATTTCTACAGGGTCTGGCAGATGACCGCCCAGGGGCACCGGCTATCATCCTAATAATAGTTCATGCATTGCTGTCGGCAGCACGGCTATTTCTCTATCTGCCCTTATATCCCCTGAGAAAGTAAGAGAAAAGACCTCCCTATCCGAGCAGGCGAGCTTCATAGCGTTCGATGCGATGGCCGTAGATCATGGTTAGGGACATGGATCGGGCGGCCTCCGGCAGCAGGGATCGAGCTGGCTCTCCTACTATTTATATGTCTGGCTGTATGTGCGGCCGCATCTTATCTCTCGAACTGTGCTATAAATACACATCTCCCTATACAGGGTGCGCCGTGGCGGTTCGTCTTCGAGGGTCGATGCATGGATACATACATACAACGAGCGAAACCGTTGACACATTCGATGGTGAGTTGTCCTCGTCCTGGCATGGTATCTCTTGCCCCCACCCCAAGCCGTATCCCCAGTAATTCTTCTGCCACCTTCATCACCTCTTGCCGGCACTTTGATATCTCCATCTTCATCGATCGTCTTCGTCTTAACGTTCTTCTTCCATCTTGTCGTTTTTGGTCCCTTTGTCGTCCTGCGGTCTACTAGCCCTAAGACCTAAGCCCTAACTTTTCCTGAATAGAATAGGCCCGAACCAGGAATGGAATGGAAGTGTTGAGGTCATGTGATGGCAGACCCACTGCTATAAAGTTTTATGCCAGTGAGCATGTCTTGGCATTTTTCTCTGTGTTGAAACATGTTTCTTTCTTTCTGTTGCGGTATTCGGGCGTTACGCCGTATTTACTGCTTTCCGTCCACCCTGTTGGTCAGGCCGGGGGCTGACGGTATCCGCTTTTCTGCTGAGTCATCCAGGCTCTTGCTCTCATGCAACACGCCAGAAGTCAACGACATACGATAACTATCTCAATCTCAACAGGGCGGGGGTGGATATGCATGGCTGTGTTAATCAGGTATTCCTGGCGGTGTTGCCACGGCGTAGCGCTCGGGAGGAGAAAGGGGAGAGAACGTTCTCCGAGTGGTGTGTCGGTGGCCCTCCGGAGAGTCGTATGTTTCTAGGCTCAGATGGACTGCTCAACTTGTAGTTTATCTACAGGCGCCCTGACGGACCTGAAACAAGCAGAAGCTGGCTGTCCAGAGGTTGAAACAGGTGGAACAGAGGCAGCCAAAACACTAGCCATGTGCGCTCACATGAGTACGGAGTTGCTTGAGAGTCACCGGAGCCAGCCCTAGCGGAGCCATACGAAGCCGGAGCAATGGTTTTACTCATGGAGCCGGGGATACCGGAGTTTCCTTTCCTACCGCTATCCGAAACCTTGTTTTAGTCACGTGGTCATGTAAACTCCCGGGCCCTGCCTTGCTGCGCTCCTACTGCATTTCTATATCTTGCTTGCCCTCCCGTCCACCTCCTCTGTGTCCTCTGCCTCTCTGCTTGTCCACCATCGCATCCCTTCTTCACCACTCTATGTTGACACCTTCTGTTCTCCCCCCAGGTTACAGCTGACGCCATGGGCTATGCGAAATGATGCTCCTCTCCCGTCATTGTTGGGCCCCCGACGGCCCTCCTACCTTTGTTTGGATGGCCTGAAGAAGATACATGTGCGGCCGTTATTGTTTTCCTTTCCCTCCACTTTACTGTGGCCGTTACTGTTACATCTCTATTCATCAAAAGGGCCCCCTCCACATACGCCTGCATGTGAACCATCACCTACTCGGGAGCTCACATAGCCCTGGAATATCGCCAACCTCGATCCTGGCAGTCTTATGGGGCTTTGCTTCGATGGACAACATGCTATTATCTTGCTAGAACGTTACGGAGATGGTCGTCTTTCTAATCCAATCAGACGACCATTATACTCTCCCCCGGCCTTGCTCCTTGACGACTACTACATGTAAGTCCTATCTGGACTATCTATACCTAAGTCCTATGGAGCAGCCGTGGGAGAAAAACTCAGGATGGGACATATATGCTAGGGGTTATCCTCCACGCTGGACCCCTTGGCGACCACGATGTGATCCGCGTGGCTGCTGAGGGTCTACAGAGGTAGCGATTACTGCCTCTGCTGCCGCTTTTGTCCACAACATTACTATATTATTACAACGGGGAGGAGCTTTTCCCTATACGGGTCACGGTGAAATATCGAGGGCCACAAAATTGCTCTTTGACAAGAAGGTACATATCTACAGAGTACTGGGGGTGGGAATGCATGTCTGCTCCCACGAATGTTCTTTCGATAACCCCCATATCGACCCATGGCTGCCCTTTTCCATAACATAAATGGACCTTCGATCGACGTTAGACCCTTTCGACCATCACCATCACAACAACAAGTTGATGCCCTATCAAACCGGTTTCTTCCTACTCTGTTAGTCGGCTTCGATCCTACCTTAGGCTGATTGACTATTCGCGGAACACTATCACTCCCTTTGCCAAAAGAGTTCTGGTTACATGCCATATTGATGGCATATCCCTGGCATCCCTTGTACGGATCGACCAGGGACGAGCGGGCTTTTGTCATTATTCATCCATTCAGACTTATTGCTTGGTTTCTTAATTTGGTGCTGTTCATTGGTTATCCAAAGAGTCATACATCTGAGTCAAAGTTAGCTCGAACCAGTAACTAAAATAAAGACTCAAATGTTGCCGAGCACAAATTCATCTGTCTACAAGATCGTAATCAGTCTATGAAGTTCTCGTTTTCGTACTGGCTACTACGTCCTGTGATGTAGTCCCGTCTGAATCTTACGTTCTTTTTTGTTTTAGTTCCAGTTGTGGATTCAGGGGAACTTAAGACCAACGTATCGGAAACGGGGCCCCTTAATGACTACCCTCACATTCTTCGAACCCCGATGCATTGCCACCAATCTCCGGTCATAGTTCACATAGTATGATACCTTAATGTCGAAATAGCGGTGAGTAATATATTTAATCTAATCCATTTCCTTGTTTTGTTGGAAATAATTTTAACAGCAAAACTCCACCATTTGCCACCTGTTTGCTCAGGGTTGGTAACTAGCGCTTCCTCCCCTGTGTGGGAATGTCGTGAACAGTACCAGCTGCAGGGACGCTGCGGGCTCGGGAAGAGAATCTCGTATTCGGCAAATTGAGGCTCTGTGTTCGTTGACGTCTGCTGGCCCTTTTATCGAAAGGTTCCATTAATGTTGATTGAGCTACATTGCGGTTGTTTAATTTGTACTCATTCTAGGGCTATTGACAGCAATGTTAGTGAGGCTGGTGGATACAAGGAACCATAACCTAATGGCTCGGTGCAACCGCTTAAAAGAGCATCTGTGTGCGATGCTCATAGTATGGCCAACAGTCAGATTTTTCTGGCAAAGGCCACAATTGCCGCCACCGTGAAGTATGACTATGTTCTAGATGGCCGGGGGTAATAATGCTCACTTTGCAGTTAATCCTTAACCGAGAAGCTTAAGGTCGTTTCAGGGCGAATAACGCTGTTCATAATCTAAACTATTTACTAGTGACTACTCCGTAGCTCTCTGAATACTCCAATTATATACATGAGTACATCTGAGCTTCTTGCAGGCAGGCATTAAACTACTAGTCATCAGCACCGTGTAGAAGTGTGAACTCATCGCTGAAGGGGGAAAGGCTGCTTCCCAACAACCTTTCCCTCCGCCATGAAGGTGGCCGTTGCTCAGTACATCTGGTGACCGGCGTGGGATTAGCTGCAACATTGAAGGTATGACCTGATGTTTAGCTTGTCAAAAGATTGGCCACGGCTCAAAAACCTCAAAATCGAAATATCAGCCGGAGAACATTGACCTAGCCGGATCCACATTTAGTACCCTGAGTATCCGTTCCATTTGCAGGGTTCTGTGAATCGTCGGTAGCAGGTCTTGTTTTTCACCAATACGGTTGGGAAGGATAGCAAACCTTGGACCTGTGACTTACGCAATAGAGGGCTGTGTGCGGCATACTGGTCCACTAGACGACTCCCCTGGTGAGGGATCTTCTCGGATCTGTGTTCTACACGCGCGGCCAGTGAGAAGTTTAAATAGTGCGTCGGAGTCTCTTGAACGAATTTCAGCGACTGGTATTCGTAGTTCCTTGGATGTGTGATACGTCACCACAGATCACTGATGAATTATCTTAGGGGCCAGAGAACGGCCCATGGGGGTATATATCTCTAGGTAGAGATGAGGATGTGTGGGTGGTGTAGGAAATGAAGTGTAGGGATGGAGGTGGAGGAAAGGAGGCGTAAGAATGGAAATGTAGGGATGGTGGTGGAGGAATGGAGATGCGGTGCAGGTGCAGGTGCAGGGGTATGAAAGGCGATGTACTTGTAGGAGTGTGATGAGATGCACGAGGTGTAGGAGGTGGAGGTGAGTTGCAGGGGGTGAATTGTAGGAGAAGTGTTGGGGGGTGTTGAAAAGGAGGTGAAGAGCAGGAGGTGTAGGAGGTGTAGGGACGGGACGGGGGTGGGGGTGGAGGTGGTGGAGAGAAGAGGAAAAGGAGCAAAAGGAGGAAAAGAAAACAACACCCTGAAAAGGCCAATTTATATAGCCATGGGAAGGCATCGGTATCGTAATGATTGTCTTCGTGGAAGATATTTCAATATCCCTTTATATTACAGCCTCGGCAAATATCACACTTTTCTGTTAGTTAATTATAGGTGAAGGGTAGATGTATCTTGCAGTATGACAAAAGAGGGTATCAGTATCATGCACTAGAGCACGATAAGGAGCGCTTCTGCAGTATTCTTTCCCGCAGGACCAGCGGGAAGAACGAGGAGTATGGCAGCAGCAAAGGCACAAGTGCTCCCTCTGCTGCTGACCAGGGAAGAGCCCCCCGTAGGCAGGAGGATGTTGTAATTCGGCTGTAGGTTGCATCTTCCTGCTATGGCCACTCGGAGAGTTGGGCTAGGTGTGTCTGCCAGCTATGCCACTATGGATATGCATTTAAGTAGATATTGGTACCAGTTGACATTATATAGAATTGTATCGATAGAGATAAGTTGGGTATAGATGTAATACTGGTAGGCAAGACGCTCTCTACTAACCTTCAATTATAAGCGATGCAAGTTCTTCCAGTGAAATTCAAAGCGGCTAATAAGGATGAAGTAGACAGCTAGTCATGTAGATGTATAGCTAAACCTCGCCAACCCAAACATTCGAGTGTAATACCCGTGCTGGCGTTGGATTGTGTCCATGGCTCGACCCGTCCTAGTAGCATTGACCACACTTTAGTTAGCTAACTAGCAGCTGATGGGCGTGCTAGCTTGTTCCGGGCGGATAGCTAGTTAGACTAGCTCACAAATACACGGCTTTGTAAAGTCTCAGGCCAAACTGCTAGGGTTCACAGTAAAATCCCGACCATTCCTTGACAATCTCAAGTGCGTACATTTAGATTGGCTCTGACTAGTAGTTATGGTATATATGTAGACACTGCCATAAGTACTTGACCATGAGTATTTCATCCTCAACTTATACTCCGGTAGAAGAAGCATTTATAGACGGGTATGAAGACCTCAAGGGGATTAAAAGGACACTCCTAGGCAAACAGGTCAATGTAAACTATGTCGTCTCTTCCATCGCCCTCTTCTACTCTTTGAGCCCTAAGCCCTAAAAAGGGGTAGTCACGTCACGTGGGGATTGCAAGTGCCCGCCAGAGGCAGGGTGGACAGCGGGCAAAAAGCCGAGAGAGCAAGAGCAGAGAAAAGGAAGAGAAGAGAAGAAGAGAACAAAAGGATGGAAGATGCAAGAAGAGCGAGTCCCTGGAGGGAGCGTGTTTCAGGGAGGCTGCTGAAGCAGTGGGAAGTTGGACCGTCCCCATGGGGATTTCATAATCCGGCCGTGGCGATACCTATATCCAGTGCAAGGAAGCACATCTCTGGGCAAGTTATGGACATGTAACCGCAGGTACCTGTGGTACGGAGTACAAGGAGGCCCCATTCTCGTTGTCGTTGTCGTTGGTATCGTTGGCGATGGTTACCGGGAAAAACCAGCAAGCATGGCACCGCTAAGTCGTGTCCCTCTTCTCTTGGGCAGAGAGAGAGCAGGGCGAGAAAAAGCAGCCTATCAGAGCACCTCAACTCCCCAGGCCCAACCAGTAGACGCAGATAGACGTGCCGCTCGCTGCAGTCTCTGCATGTCTATGCAGGCATCTAGTATCTTGGATGCAGCCAGCGAGTTTGGTCTGGCGGCCTCCGCGGCCCAATGGCCTCGACGTGCTTGACGGGATCGCTGGGATGGCGACGTGGAAGCCGAGCCTGTCTGTCTGTAGGCCCATAGAAATGCCTGTACTCTGTAGACATGGACGCAACGCAATTTCTCATAGACCTGAGGGGGAGTCGGTTCTTCGTGTTCTCGTCCTGTCCTTCCTTGCTGGCGTGTCTCTCTTCTTTGCGTCCGGTACGACGTTCGCGGGCCAAAAAGCCTGAAACTGCTTGCCATCGCCAGGTTTGCAAGCACCTGCTGGCCGTAATCGGGTCAACGAAGCCTCCCAACAGCGTCTCTTGTGTGCTGCCGTCCTGTTGGGGGCGGAAGTAGGGATATTTGCTAGTAAACAGTCAAGTTGTCGAGGCTAGCAAGCCGTGTCGTCAAGATTACCACTTTAAGACATCTCGACGACTTCAACTTCAACTTCGACTTCATCTCCAACCTCAACCTCAACGTCGACAGCTTCGACATCTACATCTCCACCTTCGTTTACGGAGCACGGCTGGTAGCTTTCTTGTCTTGCTGATTGTCGTATCCTTTTTGCTCTACCCGCGCGGTTGCATGACGGTCTCACCTGACTTGCATCGTCTTTTTTTCTCCGGCTCTTCTGCGCTTCTTCATCTACTTCATCCCCCCAGTCCACGACCTCGACAGGACTCACGCCAGAGAGAGACAGTGACCTCAAGATACCGCGCTGGCAGGTCTCCGTGCTGAAGACACGCCGTCTAGACCGCAGAGATACGCAGATACGCGACATTACCGCCTCTCGTTTCGTCTGATCGTGTCTCGAGGAGGCCAGGGGGCGGCCACCCACTCGCCCGGTCCCCATCGACCAGATACACCGCAACACCGCCCTAAACCTGTCCATATCTCACCTGTCGACGCCTTCAAGAAATCCACAGACTCCGTCGACTTCGTCTGCCGCATCTATAGACTGTTCTGCCGGCTTGTACCTGGTGAGTCGCCCTTCCCACGCATACACGCGCCGGAATCTGACCTATCCCAATTCGCCTCCAGTCCATTTCGAGATCAAGCACCCCCGATCCTGACAGCCGCCAGTACAGCTCGCTCCCTCTGTCTTTTCGCTTCCGTGCCCGTTTCTGCGTCCGTTCATTGAGCGTCTGGTGACGATGATAATTTCACCTTAATTTGACTCGATATCAGCCTGCAATTCACTCACCATGACTGGCGCGCACACACTTCCGAAGGACTTTACCTTCTTCTCCCCGACCGAGTCTGAACCGAGGACCCCAGATCGTCCTCTTCGCGATCTCTCTCATCCACCACGGCCTCACCACGCCTCTCATCGCGTCAGGAGACGGCGCATGGAGCGGAAACCCATCCCCTTCTGCGCGCCAGATGTGCCTTTACCCTCCATCGAGCTATCGCGTATCTCGCCTGCCGAATCCGCTAGCGATTCCCAATCTAACAGCACCCCAGCCTACATCTTCGAGGGCTGCGCTGGCTATCTTGATGTGCCACGACGGCAGAGAACCGACCCCAAAACACCACCAGCCCAGATTCGTGACCTAGCCTCTCAATCGTTTGAGAATGGTGCCGTGGATGGGACAACAACTCCTGTTGGCGCATCCATTACCAGGCCTTCTTCTGCCTGCTCGCATGCCTCGGATTCTTCCTTCTCTTCCACCTCAGCCGCGTCCTTTGACTCGTTTGATTCATTTATCTCCTTTGGCGGTAGCTGCACCAGCCCCGAGACTGAGATAGATGACCCTTTCCTCGCGGTCAGCCTGCCAGATAACAAGCAAAACCTGGACACTCCGTCGAAGTCCGTCAAGAACACGCCCGTTATCCCAGCTAACCTCAGCCAGAACCAGCGATGGACCTCGGAGATGGACCAACATCTCTGGAATACCTACCAGACTCATCTCCAGGATCCCACCATTACCCCATTCAAGATGTTGCCTGGTAGTTTGCCACCCCTTGGAGTCTCCCACCGGGTCGCAAGAGAGGCACGCAGGGCTTGGATGAAAACAAAACAGCAGCAGGAGCAGCAGCCCCCGTCACAGTCACAGTCACAGTCTCAGTCCCAATCCCAGCCTTCCCAGTCCCTCCCTTCTCAGCCACCAGAAACTACCAGTTCTGCGAGCAGAAATACACCACAGTGGCCTCGCTCAGATGCTGTCACCCGGCGGAGACTAAAGGAGCTATGCAAAAGAAAATACTCTATTGCTCCTCACTATCAACGACTCTTGGAGTCTCGAAGTCCGTCCCCTCCTCCAGACCTGCTAGACAGCTACACTGCCACTGCTGCTACTCCTGTTTCCGTCCCTTTCACCAGAGACCTCGGTATCTCTCTTGTCTCCGGAACAATGCCCAGCGACCCCCCGGAGGCTGCTTCAACTCCCAACATCGTCTCCAACACGGTTAACTCTATGGCAGCAACAGCTCACCACGATGACATCCCACGTCTCGGCTCACCCTTTATGTATCATACCTGGGGGCCTTCAAATTCTCGTCGCGTTTCGCAAGCAGATACAACTCCTGTCAAGCCTGCTGTTGATGCACACGATACAGTCCATGTCACTGGTTCCCGCCTACGTTCGGGAATTGCGCCTGACCTATTCACTCCCACCAACAACAATCAACGTCTGCCAGAGGCAACAGTCCCGGCTGATGCCAAAGACCAAACTTCAGCCCGTGTCCGCATTCGTACGCGCACCAGAGGCCTCACGACAAACAGCAGTAGCAATTCTCACAGCAACAACATGCTCAACGTAAATTCGCGGCACAGACTGATTCAGCTTTTCACTCCTCCATCCGGCTCGGGTTCTAACGAAACCGACGGCTTGCCTTCACATAGCCAGACTCACAGCCCAGAAGTTGAAGGAGAGCGGATCAAACGTCTGGGATCTCCCTTCAACCTTGATCTCCCCGCAAGCAAACGGCCGCAGCCGCACCCGCGACAATACCATCGTCCTCGCCATGCACCGTCTCGCTCCGACACTTTTCTCATGCATCCGACACTAAACACCCAGGGACAGCCGTTTTTCTCCACCCTCTCCTCTGCTGCAGATATAGATGTCCCTGATACGGAACGCGCACCAGCTCCAGTCACAGCGTTGCACTCGCCAGAGGCATAGCTTCCTTAAACTTCCCATCTTCCATCCCATTCACGCCATAATGTTCTTCAATTCAATCCTCCTTTTATTTATTGCTTATCGAAAAGCCGACGAATGATGATGTGAAACGACGATACTGCATGCTAGCCTTTGGAGCATTTCTGGTGTCTTATCCGTATTATAATGCGTTGCATGATCATTTTCTTGCTTCAAACAGCAACAAGTTCCATACCTGCTCAACTTAATGCACAGGAGAAAAATGAATGCCATCTTAATGTACTGGTTTTGGCATTTATGCTATTGAACTCGGAACGGGACTTATGCTTGCCTCTTTTATCTATACCCTTCTCGTGTTTTGCAGGGGATGATGAGAAAACGAACCCGCGCAATAGCGACGACGACGACCATGACCACGACCAGACGAATACACACAAACAGACTCTCTGGAGTTAAATTGCGAACAAAACAGACCGCTCACTATCTCTTCTTGATTTCTTAATACTACACAATTTTACTGACGACGAGACGACACTACGTCTACCTTTTTCCTTGCGTTATGTTGGTGGCCCTGCCTCGGTCCATGACCAGTTAATCTTTCATATCATACACCTTATATCTATTACAATATGGGAAAGATACGACTGATACTTGGATCCTTTGGCTCGACCGGCACCATATTCCCTGCTTTACATTCTCTTGACCTTCTATTTTCATTCCCTTCTCCATTCCCTGACTTCCCTTCAGCTTCCCCCCATGAAATAAAAAAGAAACAACCAAAAAAAGTTGAAAAAGCGCTGGAAATTCCCTAAAAAAAAAGATCACCTTTATAAGCAGAACGATACCTTGCTTTAATTCATCTCTTCGACTCTATGCGGCTTGCGCTAACCTGAATGACCTGTGAAATGAAATGGCCGCCCGATGGCCTATGCTCTCCGATCAATTATCTTTTATCCTCGTACTTCTCGTTTACCCCTTTCCCTTACCTTATTCTTGGGACAGTATGGAATACAGTGTTGGCCTTGTTAAAAATGCCTTGCTTGTTTGCCTGCTTTGCTTGTTGCGTTTATTTGCTTGATGATCTGACACGATGAACGATGCGAGACAATGATAAACCATTTCTGTTTTTGATATGATTTGTCCTTTTCTTCTATTTTATGCCCATCTTGTTCTTCCTCTGGTTGCACATGGATTATTTTTCTCAACTTCTATCCTTTCTGTCTTAACCACATGGGCTTCTTTGTTATATGTTTGATTCGAGTTACTTTCTTTCTCCAGCTAGAAGAGATTGGAATTTAAATAAAGTACTTCTTCTTGAATTTGGCTTTGGATAAATCCATAGCCTCTCATTATCGACTGCCATAAGCGAGATGTTCTGGTTACTCAACATATCTTTTAGGTGCACCGGCCCTGCAGCGGAATTAGTTGTTGATCTTCTGGGTCGGTCAGCTCTTGTCAACGATACTAGTAACAGGGGGTTCCGCGTCATGCGTTGGGGATTTAAAGGCCATTCGCCCACGGCTGTTGCACTTGATGCTCGGATGCAATCGTATGGAGTATGCCGTGGGAGATCGGCTTGTCTTCATTAACTGGCTGAATATAGTGTGGGCCATCATACACATCTCAATCGCATCACAGACTAGAGATTGAAGGGTTATGGCTATAGAAGCAAGGCAAGTGTGCTTCAAAAGCTTCAAAATATGAAGCTGGTGTTAATGCCCTGCTACAGATTACACGGTAAGCCGATCTGGCGTCGCCCAATCGTGTCTTGTGCTGATAAAATTCTCTGTTGTGTACCAGCAAGTACACCCCTGGACGTCATATCTCATCCTACATCGGACGAGGTATGCTGACAGCCAACCAGCAGCAGCGAGTTGACACAGCCACCAGCAGCTAGGGTTGGAGCGCAGAAGCCGTGTGCTGATATCACCTGAGGATTCGCAACCAGCCTGCATGCCTCACCACTAGCTTTCATGCAGTGTGCCCTTCACAGCCTTCAGCACACTATTCCTAGCCAACCTGTCAACAGGCGAACAAGGGTCCATTTGCCGGAGATTAAAAGGAACAGACCCAGTATAGCAAAAAGTACGTGTATTTTTGGAGGTGCCCGCAAATATTAACTACTGGTAAATAACTTTAAAGGCAGACGAAGTTATTATCAATGGACTTTAACGCGAGGTATTTCGTAGTAAAGCCAGAGATGCCAGCTTGACTGCGGCTCAGTTTGGAGAGATATTCGCAAAGGTTGGGGAATAATAATTACTCCTCCACCGCGTTATATAAAATGTGCCGGACCCCTGACCAGTGATCATTGACCTTGACACTCGCTGTGGAGAATTCAACATCCGCACTACGACCGACCGACCCCCCTTGAGTCTTGAGGGTGTATGTATTCGGGATGGCACCTGGTCGGAAAACTTCCATCGCGACAAGAAAGGATAGCCTTTTACCAAGCGGCAAGAAATCCCTATCACTTGAACTCCAAATTTTTCACTGCGGGTCTCATAACGCTCTTGAATTTATGGTAGGGTGCCTTGGTTTGGCGGGACCAAGAATTAGTTGTGTTCCATTCCTTTGCGCCAGTAAGGAAAAAAAAATAAGGCACACGACACGACGATAGCTTTAAGCCACTTTAAGGGAATTAAGCGTGAAAGGATGTCTCTGTAGTCAGGTTGCCCTATCAAAACCTCGACGGACAACGCTTCTTCTACGCCCGAGAAAAGCTTGAAAAGTCTTAAAAAGAAGCCATGGGAAGGCTGTCCCAAAGGAGGCGCGCCTTGGTGCCCGAAAGGAACCAGAAGAAACAAGAGGACCGAATAATGAACCAAGGCCCGCCTCAGGGTTTGACCAAGACGCCCGCAGCCGCCTCTGGCTCTGCCTCTTTGACACGATGAGGTAATAAGTCCGCCCCAGACAGGCTGCCATTCGCTCGCTTTGATGCAGCCTCGTATCCACCTGGAGGAACAAGATGCAAGCGTTCTTGAGGCACGGGTACATCGCCAACAGCTTGAGCATGCGAGGGCATGATGACGGCTGTCCTCGTACCTCTTGCAGCTCCTTAATATGTCTCGCTCGCTGTGGCTGGTTGCTTACTCGCTTTGTCTCCCTGGGACAAATTATTTGAGCAGCGAAAGAAACGCCTCTCGGGAAGAAGAAAAGAGCGGCCATCTGCCTGCTGATTCGCCGACGGCGCGGTCGAGCAACTTTACGGGGCGGAGAGAGTTTCTCGTCTCCAGTTTTCTCCAAGCAAAAGCTGCTACTCGTCGTTACATGGATGGGGAGGGTGGTATATATTTTAGCAGCTTTGCATCCCGCCTTCCTCACTCTCTGCAACTCCCGGTCAATAGCTTCTTATATATCCAAGCCAAAGTCATATATATATAAGAGGGACTCTGCCCGGGTCTGAGATTGACATCGGCCGGCATACACACAACTGATAGTCTCCCGAACGGACTGGAGTTGGCCACTGTGCGACCGACCGGCTGATTTGACTAACTTACGGACTGAGGGAAAAGGGAAGGGCCTTTCTCTCTTCTTCAAGATGGGCCAACAAGAGGCCGACGTCGAGGCCAGGGACTATGTGCCAGCTCCCCCAGTCTACGGCGATGAGAAACGAAACGACATGCGGGCGATGGTTGAGGCCAGCCTGCACGACACCCGGTATAACCAGACGCAGCGAGGTCTGAAGTCGCGACATGTCCAGATGATGGCCCTTGGAGGTACCATTGGAACCGGTCTCTTCGTCGGCTCGGGTCAGGCCCTGGCAAAAGGCGGCCCTGCATTTCTAGTCGGCGCATACCTACTCATCGGTGTGCTCGTCTACCTAGTTGTTACAGCTATAGCGGAGGTTGGCACATACTTACCCGTCCACGGAGGTACGATGAGCTACTACGGCTTCCGTTATGTCTCGCGCAGCATGGGCTTCTCACTCGGATATCTGTACTGGTACTCGCTGGGCATCCTTGTACCGAACGAGATTGTCGCCGCTTCTCTGATCGTGGGCTACTGGGACGACTCTATCAACATTGCTATCTGGATCACAATCTTCCTGGTCGTCATCATCGCTCTAAACTTGCTGCCCGTGCGCTGGTATGGAGAGTCTGAGTTCTGGTTTGCAAGTCTTAAGGTCATTATGATGCTAGGCTTGATCATCCTCGCCTTCATCCTCTTCTGGGGCGGAGGCCCATCCCACCAACGACTAGGATTCCATTACTGGACACACCCGAGGCCGGCGAACGAATACATCGTCAAAGGGGATGCCGGCCGGTTTGTGGCCTTCCTCAAATGCGTCGTCCTCAGCGCTTTCGCGTTCCTCTTCGCCCCCGAGCTTATCATCCAGACGGCCGGTGAGATGGAGTCGCCTCGACACAACATCCCACGAGCCTCCCGCCGTTTTTTCTACCGTCTGGCCTTCTTCTACATCCTAGGCTCCCTGGCCATCAGCGTTACCTGTCCATCAGATGAATCGTCCCTGACTAATGGTGGCGCTGGCGCTGGCTCGTCCCCCTTCGTCTTCGGCATCAAGAATGCCGGCATTGCTGTCCTCCCCAGCATCGTGAATGCTGTCATCCTTACCTCTGCCTGGAGCTCGGGCAACTCGTACCTTTACATGTCGTCCCGAGCTCTCTACTCACTCGCCGTGGCTGGTGACGCTCCGCACATCTTCAGGGCCTGCAACCGCTACGGTCTGCCTTACATGGCGCTGGCAGCTAGTGCTCTCTTCCTCCCTCTCGCCTATCTGGCTGTCGGCAGCGGCAGCTCCCGCGTCTTCAACTGGTTCGTCAGTTTCACCAACACGTCCGCGTTCATCAGTTGGACCTGCTGCTGCATCATCCACTTCCGCTTCACCAAAGCCGTCAAGGTTCAAGGCATCGAACTCACGTACAGGTCCAGGTTCCAACCTTGGGGAGCTCGTGTTGGTATCTTCGGCTTCATCCTCTTGATCCTTATCAACGGATTTGACACACTCTTCCCTCAGAGATTCAATGCTTCTGACTTCTTGACTGCCTATATTGGCATCCCGGCTTTCTTGTTGGTCTACTTTGGCCACCGCTGGTACACCAGAAGTGACCCCTGGTGCTGGCGGGCGGAGGACATAGACATGGTGACTGGTTTGGACGAGATCATTGCCGCCGAGCGCCCAATCCGCGAACACAAGGGAGTCATGAAATATATCAGCTACATATACGAGTAAACAGCGGCACATCTGGGACCAAACATCTTTGTTTATTTTATTTTATTTTCCCCCCTTACCGTATGCCCTACCTCCTTTCTTTGCAGGTCATGACGAGCTGCTGGCACTCTTGTTCTTTCAGTATCGAGTAATGGGGGCTACTGGGCTGTACTTTATCGCTGTTGTTTTGCTCGCTTGCTCAGGTGCAGGACGAGCAAGCAGTAACTATAGAGGCTTACGATCTTTAGACGAAATAATCAATGAACAAACATGACCACCTATATAATTTATCTATTAGCATTATTCTATACCGTGACAGCCCCTTGTAAACGATACTGTTGGAGGCTTAGGTAGCTGCATACCGTGCAGGCTTCGTATAATAACCATTCACTGACTATTGAAAAAGCAAACAAACGCAGAACTTCTGACAAGCAACAACTGATACTGAATAGACAGACCGCACAAAGCTGTATATTCTATATAAAATGCTCCGGGTGGAGCAATATCAGTACCAGCCGCTGCCAACCCGCACGTCCATCCGTCTGCTGCGCATCAGCTCCCGCGACAAGTTCAACCAGCTGGAATGCACGCTGAAGACGGTCGACCTGGATGCTGCGCCGTCCTTCCATGCCATATCGTATACGTGGGGGAACCCGCATGCGAGAGCCCGCGACGGCCATCGGTTCACACAGCATTACAATGCCCTGGCGGCGGAGTACTTGTTCCCCAGCGCAGGTGTGCCGGTTAAGTGTGACGGGAAGAGACTGCTGGTCAGCCGCAACCTGTATGATGCGCTGCGAGATGTGCCGCAAGATGCGTGGAAGACGTTTATCAACCGCCGTAACGAGAGCAAGGGCTGGACAAGGCTGCATACGCACTCGATCAATGGAGACGCTAGGAGGGTGAGGTCCCTGATTGCCTCGGGCGCTGAGCTCAATACAAGGGACCGCGAAGGGATGACGGCGCTTGTCTGGGCGGTACGACTGCGCAGGGGGGAGGTTGTCCGGCTGCTGGTCGAGGCGGGCGCGAGACTTGATATTCCCGACTATGAACGCAAGACGGCACTAGATTACGCGCGCGAGATCGCTGACGAGGGAATCCTGAGCTATTTAACGGCTGAAACGGCCCCGGATGGCTGCCAGCAGGCAGATGAACAGCAGGATGGTGGACCGGAGGTCTGGCTGTGGGTTGACCAGGTCTGTATCAACCAGGCTGACCCGGAAGAACGCTCCTCGCAGGTTGATCTTATGCATAGGATATATCAGGAAGCCGCCTTTACGCTTATATGGCTCGGCAGGGAGGACGGATACACGAAGCGAGCGGCCCATTTGATACCCAGGTTTGCTAGGGCCGGCAACCAGTTCATTGAAAGCACCATCATACCGTATACTCAGAACAGCCAGGAACTTCATACGAATGAAGGCATACCGTATGTAGCCGAAGGGGAATGGGACGCCCTGGCTGCCTTGTTCCAGAGACAGTACTTCCGACGCCTATGGATAGTACAGGAAATCATCCTGTCTGGCATCGTAGTGGCATACTGCGGCGGAGTCGAGATACCCTGGAGGCTTTTCTGTATCACTGCGGAGATGCTGCACTACCGTCAACTGAAGCTGGGTACCGAGATGTCAGCAAAGTACGTACCCCTTGGTGAAGGGGGGCGCGGCATCGAGCAGCCAGTTGTACAGCTGCTGCAATGGCAGGATAGGTTTGCATCCAATCCTCCCGCAGATAAACCCAGAACGGTCTCGTTGGAGAATCTAGTCTTTGATACATGGCATTTCCTTGCGACGGATCCGAGAGACAAGATATACGGGGTATATGGCCTGCTGAACAAGAAGGCCCTAGCGGACGGGCAGTCAAGAGACACAGAAAAGCCTATTTGGCAGGCAGACTATACGAAACCTGTTGAGCAGGTGTACGCAGAAGCCACGAAACAAATCATACTCGACGCTGGAGAGCTCCGAATCCTCTCCGCTGTGCTTGATCATTCCTGGCGTAAGATTGAATCTCTTCCTTCATGGACGCCAGATTACAGTGTGACATGGACGAATTTGATGTCTGCATATTCAAATGCTGCTGGTAACCTGCCAGTTCCCAGTCCGTTGATCGAAAAATCAGACCATTGGGGCACCTTGACTATCCAGGGGCTTCCTATAGATACTGTGCTGGCTATTGGAAACACAACCTCAGGTCCTGGAGACCTGAAGCGCTTCTTTGACCCATCATGGTTGGAATTAACGCTCCTTATACCGTCATCATACCACCATACGGGCCATCAGCGGTCAGAGGTCCTATGGAGAACTCTCTGCGCCAACAAGGGGCCTGACGGACGACAGCCAGCCCCGCAGTCGTTCAGCTCTGAATTCAGCGAGATGATAGGGACAATGCTAGTCAGGGAAGCATGGGTCGAAGAAGGCAATGCTGGTGCAAATCCCGAGCTGAATCTCGCTCCTAGCCTCGGGCATGGCATCGGGCGGGTTCTTGACATGTTCTCTGATCCACCGCTAGCTGGGCTATCGAAGGCGGATCTAGAACAAGAATTCAATGAGCCTTCTAGAAACCTCAGTTCGCAGGATACTCAGAAACTGGTATATACTCTTTTGAAAGCTCATGTGCTCGCACTGACGGAGGCTGAGAGAACCTGTTGTATTCCGCCTATCAATGTCCTTCTTGACTTGGAGGAGAAGCTGGCAGCTAAAAGCGAGGATCCGTCTGTTGGCCTTCTAGAACGGCTTCGACAAGGGGGAACGTTGGTAAGGACCTTGCAGAGCACAGTGGGGAGAAGGAGACTGTTTACCACGAAGAACCGGTACTTTGGGCTAGGGCCGGCTGGCATGGAGGCTGGAGACGAGGTATGGGTTATACCAGGGGCTGGTGCAGCCTTTGTGCTGAGAAAACTACTAGACGAAGCTGGTGATGGGTGTTCCAAGTACAAGTTCATCGGGGAGTCATATATACACGGCGTAATGGACGGTGAAGCAGCTGCAGGAAAGGATGATATGAAAAGGATCTCGTTGGTATAGAAATCACGAAAGATAGTTAGCTAGTTAAATCACTGCCGGTGGATTAATATTTCTAATATACATATTATTGGAGGACTATTCAGCTGCCACCCATCCCTGTTTGCTGAGTGTAATGACGTCTGGTGATGCCCTTATTTTGTTGGACCTCTCAACGCAAGCCCACTGGTAGGTCGAGAATGACTGGATATTTACCCCCTATTCCAAGTTTCGTAACTACATCTGTCATTCGTGGCTGCTGCCACACTCTCCATCGGTTTCATCTTCACTGCTCTCGTCCTTCTTCCTCGAACCTTTCCTCTTGGGCTTCCCTTTACCGAACATGGACCTTATGTCCTTGCTCTTGCCGGAATTCTCCTTTGCCTTCTTGTCGAACATGGCCTGATGTTTGGCCCGCTCTTCTTTCCCTTCATCTGCCAGTTTGGCCTCGAGCTCAAGGAACTCTTTACTCTCAGGATCCATGCCAATAAGACTCTCGAGAAGCTTTATCTCTTTGGCCCAAACGGATTTATCTTCGATTGTTTTTTTACTTTTAGCCCCTGTCCCTGCACCCTCGACAGGCCTATCAATCGGGGTCTCCAGCACCATCGGCATCCCTTCCGCTCTCTTGTCGTTCATCAAGTTGTGGAATGCCCTCAGCCCCAGGAATCCGGTTCCAATGTTAGCGTGGAGGTCTCTGTTGCTACCCAGGGGTGTTTTTGAATCATTTAAATGCCATGCTCGTAGAAACTTCAGACCTATGGTTTCGTCGAACTCCGTCATGAACCTGTCCCAGCCAGCTGGAGAGCGTAGATCATACCCTGCTGCGAAGCTGTGACAAGTATCGACACAAACACCAAGTCGAGGATGGTATGATTCTGGAATTAGCGCGAAGAGATCACGGAAGTGAGACAGTGGGCCACCAATCGTAGTTCCGTGACCGCACATTGTCTCGAGCACTGGAATAACGGTCTTTGTTGCATCAAGAGCGGATATCAGGGCTTTGGCAAGGCGAGAGAGTGACGACTCGAGAGACGTCTTATTTGTTGCCCCTGGACTAGGGTGGCGTTAGGGCCTTTCATCTTCCCATCCTGTCGTGGACGTCCAATCACCGGTATTACAGCAGCCAAGGTTGGGGACTTACTGGAAGTTATATAGCTTTATACCAAGCGCCTCACAACGTTTTAAGTCATCCAAGAAGGAATTATACGCTACTTTTGCCTTGGCTGGATCTTCCTGTGCTAGATTCACGAGGTATGAGCCATGTGGAAGGACGTGCCTAAATGGGCTCATTAGCCGGGTTCGGATAATATGATAGAAACAAGGGAGCTATACAATGCAGCATCGTAGTTGTTTTCCACACACGCTTTCTTGAACAAATCTCTATGCTCGTCTTGGAGAGGAGGATTGTCCCATTTTCTCTGCGACTTTAGAAATAGTGCGAATGCATTTCCCCTGGAAGTATGGTCAGCTACTATTGACAGGCATTTCATGCACTAGATGTTGGAGGAAATGTAGCGATATGTTTACCCGATATGGATGCTGTTCGGAATAGAGTTTTGAACCCCTAGGATATATACACGTTTAGCTTAAGAAACAATAGTATCTGACGCATATCTCGCGATCCAAGAGCATACAACACACCTTTTGCTGCGCTTACATGAGCTCCCACATACATTCGTAGTCCAGAAGCGCGGGGAGCTAGAGGGTTCATTTCTGCAGATTGTTCTTCCTTGGTTTTCTGTTTCTCTGCAGCCGTATATTGCGATGAACTAGGCTTTCCCACTTCCTCTTCCTCGTCTTTACCTTCTTCAGGTCTTATCTTTTGTACGCTCTCAGGTTCCCTGTTTTCCAAAGCTCTTCCGGTCGATTTTTCTGCTTCTGAGGTATCTTTATCCCGTGCTTTCTTGTCCCTTTTCGGCTCTGACTGAGGCTTCTTTGTGATACTACTGGAGCTGGACTTCTTTGGTCGCTTTGCTACAGAAGCCCCAGTTACACTGAGACCTCGCTTTCTTTCTGAAATAGCTGTCTCTGGAGCACCATCTGTGGCTGTGGAGGCAGTCTTCGTTTCCTGGTTCCGGCGCGTTGACCGGGTAGCTGGCATCGTTAAAGAGCCTTTCCAGGCAGAATTTCCAGGTATCCAGCCTCAAGGGGTATCACTAGCTGCAGAAAGCACTCTCCTGATGCTCAAATCTCTCTTCAGCATCCTCTTGCACTTCTCTGTGCAAGTTTCTTCTCGGCTTCGACGTTGCGACGCGACCTCGAGGACGTTAAAGATGGGGAACCTGAATTATTGTCATCACGTGACAGGTTCCCCGGCCAACGTCAACCAAAATGCGACGTCAACGTTTGGTCTCAAGAGGAAAATATCATCAACTCGTCGATCAAGTCGCCTGCCAGAAGATAAGGAGGATAAGGAGCGATACGCTGTTGTTTGAATGCCCATTGGCGGCCCCTGAATAACTGTTCACGGCCGCTGTGACTGTCAGATTGACCAATTTTCCTTGTTTACATCTGTTGACCGTTCAAGAACGGCGCATACCACGATGGCGCGGCCCTCCGACGACCGTATCGATTTCGATCTTATCGAGAATCAGAAAGAAAACATTCAATCGCTGCCCAGTGGAAGGTCTGCAAAAGCGCTGGCGGCAGTGTTTTCTCCTCGACCCTTGGACCAGAGCTCACGCTCGTCGGAACTAGACGAAACGAGGACGCTGAACGATGCGGTTCGACGGGAATATGAAGCTGAGCTGGAATCCATTGCAGAATCAGATGACCCACTTGATATTTACGACCGATATGTGAAATGGACACTGGACGCATATCCTTCTGCTCAAGCAACCTCGCAATCGGGGCTGCTCCCACTTCTAGAACGCGCAACCAATGCGTTTCTAAGCTCAACACATTACAAGAACGATCCAAGATATTTACGGCTCTGGCTACATTATATACAACTTTTCTCTGACTCTCCAAGGGAGACGTTTGCCTTTTTGGCGAGGCACGGTGTTGGTGCGCAGCTGGCGCTGTTTTACGAAGAATTTGCTTCGTGGTTAGAGCGGGATGGAAGGATAGCACAAGCTGAAGAAGTATACAAAATGGGCATTGAAAAGGAAGCCAGGCCGACTGAACGGCTTTTTAGGAAATTTGGGGAGTTCCAGAAACGAGCAGAACAGAGACCAAGCGGCTCTGATGGTCCTTCTTCTCCTGCTCTTCCCAGAGTGCGGCCAGCATTAGCTGCAAAGTTTGACCCCTTTGCATCGTCTGCGGCAAGCCAGGATCCTCAGGCTGAACCTACGAGAAGCGGGCTTGGCGGCGGAACCTCGACGAGCAGGTCCCGCAGCGGTAAACCCAAGATGGCCATCTTCTCCGATGCAGATGGAGGAGCTGAAGCCACAAAATCGAGCTGTAGTCCCGGAACAAGAGGGTGGGACAACATTGGGTCATTGAAAGATCGCAGGAAAGAGAATACCATTGAGCCAACTCCGTGGGCTGGGCAGACTTTGAAGGCTGGGAAGAAGCCTGCAGCTACGCAGAAGATGACTGTGTTTAAAGACGAGGTAAGCCCAATGTTTGATTTTCCTTTTTGCGCTTTTGATATATGGTATATATATTTACGATCATAGGACTAATATCTGGCATAAACTTCCTTTACGGAATTTTTTTGTTTATATACTCAGACGTCAAATACACACCATAGTTCAAAGTCAATGCAAACTATTAACGTTTCACGAAATAATAAAGAACGAGTCGACCCCCGAACTGGAAAAATTGAACGTGTTGTTGTTAACCTTGAGGCCATATACCCTGATCCTCATAACCCAGCAGTTGAAATGAGCCTTGATGAGCTTAGAGCAATTCGTCGTGGCTGGATGAGTAAAGATTGGGATAAACAAAGGAAAAAGCCACTAAGGGAGATACCTCAAAATGAGGTCACAGGGAGAGACCCACATATAAATGGAAATGATTATGGCCCAGATAAACATCTATCTATGGCTATGCAAGAAAAGCTCCAAATCTATGATGAGGCTGGTCGAGATCCCAAGCTGGCAAAAGGGAAGAAAACAAAGGTGAAAGAAATCAAAATGGAGACACAGATAGGTAAGTTGTTTCTTAAAACTGGTTATATATTATAAAAACCTACTAATACATAGTGCTATTATAGTAAAAACTAATCTTGATTCGCCCACTGGACCAAGGATTAAGAAGAGAGGCTCTACTGAGCCTACAATGACATTCCATACTAAAGAGGCTACAGATGAAATATATGGCATATTCAATCAGCCACTAAAGTCTGAGCTTCAGCTTGCCAAAGATCTAGACAGTGTCTATGGAAGTGACTATGAAGATGATGATTGTGCTAGTATAGGGGAAAGCACTACTACAGGGGCCATTTCTGCCCCAGGCAGTGATTTTGAAGATGATAAGACAAATACCTTTAAAGCAAGTAGAGCTATTATAGGAGCAGACGGACTAGGGGACCGAACAGAGGAGGATATCACTAGTGCTAGTGCATGGACTGAATTCTCCCCTGAAGAACATGTCCCAGGGCCCGGGACAATAACACCAAGAGAGGAAGAGGACGCTGAGAGCTCTGATGGCCTAGGAACAATGCCTACTCCTCGGCGAGGTGATCGCATCGTTCACCAGGAAGAAAATTTTGTCCTTGTGCCACCAGAGGACTACAATCCTCCTAGAGGCCCCTACCGAGACGCCTTTGTGGCCGCTCAAAATCGACTCCCTTTTATGACACCGATTGTTGAGCACACCGAAACCTCGCTCGCCTCGACGATGTTCAAAAACAAGCACTACATGAGCTCGAAAACCCCCTCCAAGAATTCCAAGCCTCTCTTCTCAGCATCAACTCCAGCTATTCCAGAGATCGATGATCTGATGCTAGCAAGTCAAGACGACGCGGAATTTGACATGCTTGGGGACGAATCACCTAGTAAGATGGCCGGGAAGCTCAAGTCACCTCAGAGCATGTTCAAGCGAGGTGGTCTTGTTGAACCTCGTGTGCTCATAGAGGATGTTCAGTGCAATCCCATTGAAACTGCCATACGAGATAAGATTCTGAAGGGACTTCAGCCTCCGTTGCGCGTCTATCCAGGCTACAATGACCACACTTCTCAAATCGGTGGGAACGGAGCTGAGATTAAGAAATACCTGAAAGCCCTGGCAAAGCCACCCAAAGCACATGGAAGTGAGAAGCAATTCACTATACCGCCAATTATCTGCCTTTCAGGGGCAGCAAGAAGCTATGCGGTGAAGCGGGAGCTTGGGGAAGGGGGATTTGCTCCCGTTTACCTTGCCGAAAGCATCGATTCTCCTGATACATTCTCAGACTCTGAACAGGAGAATTTTCCTCCTGCTAAAAGCTCTCACTTGACCGGTGGAAACGGTGCAGTTCTCAGAGACTTGGAGCGCAAGCCTCTGGAAGCCCTGAAGGTTGAATCTGACCCGCCATCACCCTGGGAGTTCTATATGCTCGTGACTGCCAGGACCAGGATCGAGAATTCATCCTATTACCGACGCGCGAAGGATAGCATTGTTCAATGCCACGAAATACATATGTTCAAGGATGAGTCAATTCTGGTGGAAGACTACTTAAACCAAGGTACTTTGCTGGACCTCATCAACATCAAAACAGAGTCTACTGGCCCAGTGGCACCCTCAGATCAATGCCTGGAGGAGGTAGTGATTATGTTCTTTGCAGCAGAGCTATTCCGGACAGTTGAAGCCCTCCACTCCTGTGGGATTCTCCATGGGGATCTGAAACCCGACAACTGTCTGGTCCGGCTGCCTGGGCCAGCTTCCGCATCCACAATTCCTACCCCTCGAAGCGGTTCCCTGCTAGCTGACGATGAAGGCTGCCGCCCTGAAGACGGAAGTACTGGGTACTCCCCATCTGGGCTTTATGGTTGGAAGGAGAGAGGGTTGACACTGATAGATTTTGGACGAGCGATTGATATGCGTGTTTTCAAGCCGGAGGTTCAATTCATTGCGGACTGGAAGGTGGGCCAGCACGAGTGTGTTGAGATGCGCGAGTGTCGACCATGGACGTACCAGGCCGATCTGTACGGTCTGGCGGGGACTATTTACGTTATGCTGTTTGGAAAGTACATGGAAGTGTCCCAAGTGACCGAACGAACCAGCGACAGGCCTGGTTCCCCCAGCCTTGGAAACGAGCGAGGTGTAGGAGCCCAAAAGACGTACAGAATCAAGGAATCGTTGAAACGATACTGGGAGCGCGAGATCTGGTCGGACGTGTTTGACCTGTTGCTTAACCCTTTGAGCCCAAAGTGGGTGGAGATTGAACGCAATGCTCGCGAGAAGGCTTCACCCGGCAGTGCAGATGGCGACAAGCAGCCTACCTTCCCCGTTGTCCACTCGATGAGACTGGTGCGAGAGAATATGGAGGCTTGGTTGGTTGCCAACGCAGGCCGCAAGGGACTACTAGGCCACCTTAACAACTTGGAGAACCTGATTGCACGCAAGCGGGGGAAGCGAGATGCCTGATCCAGCCGATTTTCTACTCTGATTTTCCTTCTTGGGCTGGCGTTTGGCGGCTGATGTGGACGACTTAGTGACACTTATCATGGATGACAAAGGATGCCTTTAGACGACTGATTATTGATAACTATACCCCCTGGATGATGCCCTTTTCTTACCCCTTTTCTCCTGACTACTTTGCGTTGATCTCGACTTAGCTATGGCATGGAACGAGGGTTTCTCGAGAGTTTTGGCTTGACTATAGCAAATTTACCTATCGAGATACCATAATAATTAATTCACTTCTTTCTATTTTTCTCTATTTTCATTCCTCGCGCCCCGAAATCTGGCCAGATATCTCTGGGCCCTTCTATTAGATGTTGGATTGAGCAACAATAGGAGTAGCTAATGCGCAATCACGGGAGTGGCCTTGTACTGTCAATAAGATATTAAAAGCAACAGTAACTTAGAAGTATTTGCTCTTTGAACATTGAATATCAATGTCGAGTGCGTTCAAATGAAAGAGGCTTTGCTGTGGGCTACTTTGTCCTCTCAAACAATCGTATCAATAGAGAGTGAATGCCTCTTTATCAATACCTGCAAGACAACAGCTATTGACAGCCATTATCTAGAGGTGACAGCTAGGTCTCAGGCAGTAGTTATGTCTCCTCCTGGCTTGTGTATATATACAAGTGACGGCTTGGATATCTCGTTTGATCCTGGTATACAGCAGGCGAAAAACGCTCTCCCTCTCCGGCTTCAACATCTAGTCGATGAATGCTTGCTCCCTTTGCTCGGCTTCGTTATCTCATCTTGACACTGCTACTGTAAGCTGTAACCCAGTCAAGGCCGTCTTGTTGATATTGATATTGATATTGGTTGTATAGCAGCACCTGCAAGGACCGTTGACCAAAACCATGGCGACAGAAGAAGATATCTCTGTACCTCTCAACATCGACTCTGCTGAGGAGCTGGTGTCTTCGCCTAGCGAGTCTGAGCCCGCGTCTATCGACTGTTCGTCAGCAGAAGGGACCTCGAGCTCGTCGTCTGTCGATGCGGAGCAGGACATGGACACGGGACCCAAGACAGACGGGAAGGGCGACGACGTCAAGCAAGACAACGGGCAAGAAAAGGATACACAGGATAACGAGAAAGACAGCGAGAAAGAGGATAAACTGGCGGTGCCAGCTGCCGTCCTGCCTCCACGGCCCGATAACCCGCGGCGATGGACTTGGAGATGCCACAAGTGCCATACACACTATGCCCTCGCGGTGACGAACCGATGCCTGTCCGACGGGCACTACTTCTGCTACGGCCTTGCACAGGGCCGCAAGCACCGGGGGCGCCGCCAGAGGCAGGTCAAGGGCGAGAGCAGCCTGGGGACTGCCTGCAATTCCTCCTTCGACTACGCCGGATGGGAGGCCATGGCCGTCTGGCAGAGGCACGCCAGGCAGCAAAAGGGCATCAGTCCATCCCCAGGCTGTTTGCAAGACTGCAGATACCCAGGGGAATGCAGCCAAAGCAGACTCTACAGCATCCCTCGCCCGTCGACGCTGGCAGGACTGTCGGCTGGAGAGACAGACGCCCAACCACCGAATGTACGTCCCCAGCTTGCCCCTTACCCGGAAGACGCTTCTTGTGTGTACGAGATCTTTGACCATCTCATCCACGCTTCCCACTGAGAAATAGCCCGGGGGTTGCCATGGTTTTGACTGATCCGTGTATTCAGCCCAGGTCCTTGCCACCGGATGACATCCCCTACAAGGCGCCAACGCCAGCACTGGCAGCAAAGCCCGGCTTGAGGAGGAAAAGGAGAGCTGCAGCAGCAGAGCCAGCGATCGGCCAGTTGAAGAAGAAGGCAAAGAAGACGAAGAAAGGCGCCGTAACTCCCGTCTAGCAAGGGAAGCCGAGCATTCGCCCGAGTGGATACACACGCGCATAGCTAATATATATCGGCACGGAATGGATATATATCAATGGGTATTTGCTCTGAAGAATGCTCCATGACCTCCAGTATCGCCCCCATAATAACGACATTGCCAATGCTACTGCTACACACCGCACACCATACACCTGGCGGTTGGTATCGCCTGAGGAATCTTCCTGGTGATAGTCCGGTTCGTGATGGCTATCAACCAAACAAGGGACAGCCCTGATGACGTCGAGATCTCCAATATATGGAACTATAAGGGCAAAAGATCTCAAGCCATTGGTATTTCCAGGCCTTTCCTGCGCCATTGCTGTCTCCTGACAACTGACTGTCCTCCCATCTGCATCTCCAATATCAGAACACCCACCCAGTCTCCTTACGGGCAATCTGAGACATGGCGACATCACTGGACGCTGCCCTTACAACTTTCCGCCCGCGAATTGCAGCCTGAAGACACCAAGAACGAATGGAATAGTCTATTTTACTCTCTCTCGCGCTGGCCCTGCAACGTCGAGGTTGCTGGAATGTAACATGGACCGGTCTCCGTAACAGCCAAGGGGTTGATTTTTGCTCTTTGCTTTTTTTGGGCTGCTGCTTCGTCCTCATGCAAGTCATAATAACTCGAGCAAAACGCCAGGAGTTACGGTAACATCATACCACTTGCGCAACGATAGGGAGAGGTAGACGAAGACGCGGAAGAACAGAAGACGAAACAGCGAGGAGAGAGCGAAATGGCGGAGATGAGCTGGTTAGGGGGTGAGACCCTGGGCTCACAGGTTGGTTTGTTCTGTTAGTTATTTATGGCCAACGAGGACGATTCTTCGTTTCTTCGATGGATGCAAATTTACTGAAATTTACCTATCAGGTTTGCTTCTTTTCAGATGTTAAATAACTAGCTGAGCCTTTTTGATGATCTATACGGCCATGTCGGTTCTTTCATCTTCGGACGACGATGAGCATTGCTGCCGAACAATTGATAGCTTCCTCCGCCCACTAACTATCACGGATGCCACGCTCTATGAGCTCTCCTACCGCCTGTCGAAGGTCTACCGAACCCTTGCGTTGACGGGAGATGGCCATTTCTTCCCTACCCCGGTCACTTGCCTGCCCAGCGGTAGAGAAACGGGCGTCTACCTCGCTGTCGATGTCGGGATGACCAACCTAAGAGTCGCTTTTATCGAGCTTCTAGGTTGCTCGCCAGCTAGTCGTCATTCTCCCAGTGGTCGAAGTGATCAAAGTGCTTTCCGGTCAGTATCTGGTCGAAGAGTACGGAGGACGATTGAGAAGGCCTGGCGGATTGAAGAGCGTCTGAAGGAGGATGATGAGGAAGCTCTTTTTGGCTGGATCGGGAGCTGTATAGCCGAAGTCGTAGCTGATGAGCTCAGTTCCCATGATCCAGCTGATCAGTCTCTTCCTCGAGAGATAGAGACTGGCATATCATTCAGCCTGCCTATACGGTAGGGGCTACCACAAAGCTACGGCGCATAGAACTTGGACTGACAGAAGGGTTGGCTACATGATATAGACAAGAGTCGCTAGACGAAGCAACGCTGATGCCAATTGGCAAGGGATTTGCCATCAAATCGAACCTCAACCTCCGCAGAGCTGTCCTGAATGGCTATGAGCGCCATTCTTACCAGCCCAATCAGGATCAACGACAGTCTCAGACCAAACGGCGCAAAACGTACACCCTGCCAGGCCTCAACATCATAGCCATTGCAAACGACACAGTGGCAACTCTGGCCTCACTCGCATACGCAGTGAAATCCCTGCCAAACACCAGGGTGGCTATGGGAATCGTTGTTGGCACCGGCTGTAATGCTACTATCCCCATGAAGCTGAAGGACCTGCACCAGACAAAGGCCCGTCAGATACGTTCATATTGCCCTAAAGCAACGGAGGCTGTTATCAGCACCGAGTGGACGCTCCAGGGGACCGAGGGCCCCTTGAAGGAGTTGTCAATCAGCACAGCCTGGGATGATCAATTGAGCGCTTGCTCAGTCCGGCCGGGCTTCCAGCCATTTGAATACATGACTGGTGGTAGATATATTGGAGAACTCATTCGTATCATAGTTTATGACTACTATACCACAGTCATGTCCTACCCCTCCGCTGTCCTCCCTTGCGCTCTTACGAAACCCTACGCGCTCACGATCGACTTTGTCTCCGATGTCATTGCTACCTCTCGATCAGACAGCGAACTAGCCGCCAGACTTAGCCGAAAGCTTGCTTCACCAGTTAAGAACTCATGGCTCTGGACTCCGGCGTCTGCCCGTGTCCTGCGAGTCACTGCTTCCGCTGTTCAAACCCGCTCGGCCGCCTTGATCGCAGCAGCGTCAGTTGCCTTACTGGCATGCAACCATGAAATACGTCTTGAGTGCCCGCAGAGATGCACCTCGCTGGGCAAGCTGCATTGCGCCACTTCTCCGTACCAGAATCCCCTTCTTCTGCCGACATCAGGGTCGACTGTGAACTGGCAGCGAGGCCCCGAGGAGCTAGTCGTGGCATATACGGGGAGCATCATTCAGCATTATCCCAACTTTAAGGTGCTGTGTCAGGGATATATTGACCGACTGGTTATTCGAGCTGGGCCGCAGGATGGCGGGAAGAGTGTTCTTTTGCGGGAGGCAACTGATGGATCAATTATTGGAGCTGGTGTTTTGGCTGGAATGATCGCAACGGGGCGAAATCTGTGGAATTAGCCACATTTCTCCATTCATATTACTCCTGAGACACCGACTGTCATCGGAAATACGATATCGGACTTGGACTTGTCGATGCATCTACATTCATGAATCAATGAAAAAATTCCTACATTCCATCAGCTCGAACACTCTCTTCCAGTCAGTTATAGATGGCAATATTCACACCTTTTTACGCAGATATATGATTCCAGTTTGGCTCTTATTGATTCTTGCCGGCTATCTTAACATCTTGACTGGCCCGCCAAATATTCCTGCTTCTACCAAACATACGCACGTAGCGGATGATATTGGGGCTCAAGCGAGCCTTTCGCCTACCAAAGCGACCAATATAAAATGTGACCCCCCAACCAACTCAGGTATCTCTCAACGGAAGCCGACCTATCCAACGACATATCTTCAGCTCTTTGATGTCTAGGTGAGTTGATGACGACGCGCCCATGCCGCACTGACAGCACCCATGCTGTTGTTTGGGGCGATCAATATATGGGAGCTGCGAAGACCACAGAACAGATGGCCAAAACCCTTTCAGCGCTCTTGACGCGGATAGGCGATAAAAATGTCCTCCTCGTCTTCCTCTCTGTCGGAAAAATGCGCATGGGATCGGGGATTTCATGACTTTTATCCGACAAACCGAAAGCCTGCCTCCCCCCCCGGCGCAGTTGGATGCTGGATACCAATACAGGGATTTCCCTCATCACACAGCTACAGGACGTGCATAACTCGGCCGTCACGCTTCTTGATGCCTATGTGCATATCTCCATTCGGAAATCTGATACTCCTACCCCTACTCGCCCGGGGGCAGTTTGGGGGTGGTTGTCGTGTCTGGATATGTATACACGCATCCCGGCCGCCTGCCGCCGTTGTAGATATTATCAATTATCTCTTACCCTGAGGGAAGACCAGTCGCGGGGGTTGGTGGTTACGGGCCAGATATATGATGTCGGCATGGGTTATCGCCTCCTCTATGCCAGGGAGTTACCATCTTCCCTAGGATTTGATACCTTGGGTGTCCCAGCTGTCTACCTCCTCCCTGTGCCTACACGGTAAATACACTGGAGGGGAAGAAGAGGAACGGAGTAGATCAACTCTCCTTTCCGGTTCGCTGCTGGAACGTTCCAGCTGCAGGTTCAGGGATATACTCCGGATGTCCGTGGAATAAAAATGCGTTCCCCAGCTCGACTGAAGGCCGCGATTGGCAGATGAGCTGCACAAGCAATATAGCGCCCATTTTGATCGCCCTTAATCGTGAGATAACGTATACACCCGCCCGTTATGCATGTTCTGGAGTTGACTGGTCAACCGGCAGATGCCTCCTATCAGCGATGCCCATCGCTCTGGTAACTAAACAGATCAGCATATGCCCCGGTTTGCAATTCATGCAACCTATTCTTACGATGGGTAGTTACATCGTGAACTGGAACGGTCGGCTTCTCACCATTTGAAAGATTCGGTCGCTGTCGCCGCTGTTGGGAAGATTCTTTGGATGCCATGAAGCTTGGGACCGCATATCCGGGGGAAAATACCACAACGACAACCTATTTGTGTTGTATCACACTCTCGGTCTTTCACAGCTTATCTCGTACCCTCTACTGTGCGTCGAGAAGTCGAATAGCTATGACATGGGTGCTATGGGATGATCTTTGGACCGTTTTTTCTTCCCAATGTTGGGGCACCACTGCCCAAATATTGGCCGGGGAGGTTAAGGGGGTCCTCCTAGGTGTGTATGTAGATCCATCCCACATAACCGGATGGGAAACTCTTTGAAACTAGCCTACAAGGCCCGACAGTCCGGAAAGGATGAGGGAGCCAGAGGGACAGCTGACAGCCATCTCGCCCTGGGATAGCCCGTGCACCGGCATTGACGCGATTCCCATCATTTTCAGGTGGGCGGATCTTGAAGTGCGTACCCCCATAAGGGATTACCAAGTATACCCCCACGGCTCCCACTTCCCGCTGTGTTCCACTTCCCGCTGCGTTCCCGCTGCATTCCCGCCGCATAGCCAAAGGGGTCCGTGTCCATTTTTTTTTTTGTTGGCAGGATTTAGCGTAAGTATGGGATTCCTCATGCAGACAACTAGACAGCTAGGTATAGAGGTAATCCATATGTCCTGCAATGGCTAGGCGCACCTCTCTTGCAAGGGCCTGTTGTCTGTTGGGAGTGGGGGCTCCCTCCTCCATCAACATCTCTCGGCTGATGGCAAATGTCGGGAGGTCAGAATGAGGATTGACGTACCCGGTCTGTTTTTGGCACAGTTGATGCGCCTGGTGCGCCTGGTGCATATAATGCATACATATTAATGGCATTGTTTCTCCATCAACGGTCTAAGCGAGCTCGTTTTGTCCCATCTGTCCTTTTCCCTCCTTGTCAGGCTCATCATCTTCCTCTTTTGGGTATGCGGGTGACCGCTTTACCAGGAGCTTGCATATACTGCTGGGAAATGCTTTTGCTTACATCCATATTCTAAAAACTCGGCTTTATGCAACATAAAGCTTGACATGCCTATGGTATAGCACACCCTCCATCAGCAGAATAGCGCACTTGCTTCGGCCCGCAAGTGATACTTGGAGATACTTCAGTACATGGTATATTAACGTCCATAGTC